AGAGAACTCTCAGAAGCCGCGGAGGACCAGGAGCCTCTGCAGCCTCCTCCTCAGTTCATCCCCGTAGAGGCTCCGTGGGGCCGACCTCCTGACCTCCCGACCTCCTGACCTCCTGCTGTCTGCAGCTCCTTCAGGTTCAGCTGCTCCCCTCTCTGCAGCGGAGCCTGAAACAGGAAGCATGTGGCAAGCGATGTTTAGAAATGCACCACTTCCTCTGCCCAACGGTTTCCTCCTCAGCGGTCACCTGCAGGCTGTCCACGCCGCCGCGACTCCTCCATTCCCTCTGCGAGGAGTCAGAAGGTGGAGCCTCCGTCAGTGTCCTGATGCACTGCTGTGAGTCTTATCTCAACCTGCAGGAATCCGTCCTCCTTTATCACTGATCTCCAGGTGGACGCGGCGGACGCTGGGCTTTTCTTTCTGTTGGTTCTCCTGTGAGCTCATCGCCGAGGAGCCTCTCGGCTCGTCCTCCTTTAGGTGGAGAAACCCGGGGGCTGGCGTCGGGCCACTTCCTCATTTGCTTCTGGTAAAAGTTATAAAGTGAGGAACCGGTGCACTGCACCTCCACTCGCCTCCTTCACTGTCTCCTGCTTCCTTCTCTCGGAGAAGCTCTGCTCATCATGGGGAACTTTGCCGCCAACGAAGGACTCTCCATCTTCGTGATTGTGAGTACACTTTTTCACACGCAGTGAAAGGTGCTTTGTGTGGAACGGTTTGAATCCTCCGGTGAGGATGTGGAACCGCAGGTCTGTTTATTCTTTGCATCAGAACATTCCGGTTCGGACCGTGTTCGCTGTGCAGCATCTGGGTTCTCCGTCGTCTAAGACGTGTGTGCTTGTCTGTTGCAGCTGGTCTGGCTCGGCATCAATGCCTTCCTGTTTGTCCATTTCTACATGGCCTTCCTGGTGGAGAGGTGGTTCTACACGCGGGTTCTGCTGGGGGTGAGTCCACTCACGGTTCTAATGCTTACTGAGGAAACAAGCACCCAATCAGCGGGTTCTTTTTATTATTTCACGCTTCAAAGCTCTTGTTAGAGAAGATGCATTTTTTTTAAAAAGGACCCGACCCTTTTCACTTCCTCAAAGTGCAGCGGGTGGGGTCGGGTCGGGTCGGGTGGGGGCATTCTGAGGAAACCCCACGATTCACATCACCAACCACCAGCAGGAGCTTGCAGAGCGGCTCTGATATGAATATGAACCTCATTCATCAGACAGGATTTCAGGTTGAACCACAAAGCAAAGAGCCCCAGCAGGTGATTCGTTGTCCCGTATAACCGAACGCGACATCATGAAACCTCCACACTAATCGCCCCTCATCTGCACCACCCGCTCCACCCGCAGCAGGGGTAAAGTCCGCTCCATCCTACACGGAGCAGAAGTGAAACGCGGTCCAGATGCATTAAGCTGCAGCTTCAGTGGACTCTCAGGGCCCGAAGCGTCGTGCTCTGCAGAGTAATCAGATTACTCTCTCTCTCTCTCGCTCGCCCGTCAGCACGCGCTGTCCTGGGCCAGAGCTCCGGCCGCCTGCCTCAACTTCAACTGCATGCTCATCCTGCTGCCGGTCTGCAGGAACCTGCTGTCCTTCCTGCGAGGCACCGTCCAGGTGAGGAGCCCGCGCACAGGTTCATGTCCCCGGGGGGCCGGGGGGGCATCACAGCTCCTAATAACCTGGTGACCTTTGTGCTTCAGTGCTGCAGCCGCACGGCCGCTCGGCAGCTCGACCGAAACATCACGTTCCACAAGCTGGTGGCCTACATGATCGCCTTCCACACGGGTGAGCTGCCCCGCCTGCAGACCTGCTGGGCTTTAATACTGAGCGTCGGCACGTCTGTAACTCCATGACCTCCTCCCGCAGCCGTGCACATCGTCGCTCACTTGTTCAACTTCGAGTACTTCATGGACGCCCAGCTGCAGAGGAACAGCAGCCATCTTCCCTTCGTCCTGTCGGAGATCGGCAGCGGCGACAACGCGTCCTTCCTGAACCCCATCAGGACCAACGAGACGGTGAGGACGCTGCTGTTGCTCAAATCTGTGAAATGCTCTTTTGCTTCATCTGATCGGCTTCCTCTTTCCGCGGTTTCTCCTCTCTTGTGAAACTTCCTCTTTTCTAATAAACCGTTTAGTTTCTTTTTGACTCCTGGTGTCAAATAATCTGTTTCCACGCTTCAAATTCTCGTGGTTCTAATCTGTACTTTTGCACTCGGCTTCAGTTTCAACTTGTTTCAGTGCTGCAGACGTTCACTCTTTCATCTGTTATCACCTAACGTGGTTCCTCAGAGAGTCTCAGAGGAACCGCGACAACACACACATTGGTACATGAGGGAAGTTGGCCAACGCGCGTGTGTGCGTGTGTGCGTGTGTGTGCGTGCAGAACCCAACCATCGTCATGTTCACCACGGTGGCCGGGCTGACGGGCGTGGCCATCACTCTGGCCCTCATCCTCATCATCACCTCGTCCATGGAGGTCATCCGCAGGTCCTACTTTGAGGTCTTCTGGTACACCCACCACCTCTTCGTGGTCTTCTTCGTGGGCCTGGTGTTCCACGGCTTCGGGTGAGACGCGTTGTTGTTGTTGTTGTTGTCGTCGTCCTCTCTGCCAGCGTCCCTGTAACTTGACCGCGTGACTGCAGGCGGATCGTAAGAGGACAGACGGCCGGCAGCTTGGAGACCAACCGGCCCGAGGCGTGCGCCGAGCACTTTGAGGACTGGGGGGGCCCCGGGTCGGGCTGTGCGGTGCCGGCGTTCGCTGGGAACCCTCCGATGGTGAGCCGCGGGAAGGGGGCGGGGCTCTGGGAGCCGGCGTTGGGCACTAATGACCGGTTCCTCTTCTCCAGACGTGGAAGTGGGTGGTGGGGCCCATGATCCTCTACGTGTGCGAGCGGCTCGTCCGCTTCTACCGGGCCCACCAGAAGGTGGTCATCACCAAGGTGGGGAGATACGACCCGTCATGGGTTCACTTACTTCAGCGCACACAGCCTCACGAGATGACCCCCCGACCCCCGACCCCCCCCTTCAGGTGGTGATGCACCCGTCCAAGACTCTGGAGCTGCAGATGAAGAGGAAGGGCTTCCACATGGAGGTGGGTCAGTACGTCTTCATCCAGTGCCCGTCCGTCTCCCGGCTGGAGTGGCACCCCTTCACCCTGACCTCGGCCCCCGAGGAGGACTACTTCAGCGCCCACATCCGCATCGTGGGGGACTGGACCGAGGCGCTGTACGAGGCCTGCGTGGGAGACAAGACTCAGCCTCAGGAGGCCTGGAAGCTGCCCAAGTAAGTGCCTATAAAGCCACCGGTGGGGGGGAGGGGGTCCATCGTGTGTGTCTCAGCGGCCTGCAGAGCGTTTCCTGATCTAATGATTGACAGCTGCTGGTGGTGTGAATGTGCGTGACACATGAACATTGACCCCGCAGGCTGGCCATCGACGGGCCCTTTGGGACGGCCAGCGAGGACGTGTTCCGCTACGAGGTGGTGATGCTGGTGGGGGCCGGCATCGGCGTGACTCCTTTCGCCTCCATCCTCAAGTCCGTGTGGTACAAACGCATCCAGCAGAACCAGGAGGTCTTCACCAAGAAGGTGAGGGAGGAGCTCCAGGTCCTCTGATCACATGGTGTTCACCAAGGGGAGGGCGTGTGTCTAAAGTGCCCCCCCCCCCACCCCCCCAGATCTACTTCTACTGGCTGTGCCCGGAGACCGAGGCCTTCGAGTGGTTTGCAGACCTGCTGCAGTCTCTGGAGGGTCAGATGACGGAGAAAGGCGTGACGGACTTCCTCAGCTACAACATCTACCTGACCCGCTGGAAGGAGACCGAGGTAGGGGGGGTAAGACCAGGTGGACCCGGGTGGCCCCAGACGCCCCCGGCCTGAAGTCGTGTGTTCTCTCTCCACCAGGCGGCTCACTTCCGGGTTCACCACGAGGCGGAGAACGACCCGATCACGGGCCTGAAGCAGAAGACGCTGTACGGGAAACCCAACTGGGACCACGAGTTCAGCAGCATCGCCACGGCGCACCCGGGGTGAGGGACGCACACGCACGCACACGCACACACGCACACGCACACACACGCACACACGCACACACACGCACACACACACACACTGTGAACACTTTGACTTAGTAAATAAATCATGTTACTGTTTACATACTGATACTTTTACTAGTACTACTTCTTATATTACTCACACAAATAATTCTACGTCGTCCTCTAATTTTTCGGATGAATTTTCTTCTTGAATTTCTGACTTTAGTCTTTTAATGATTTAATAATCAATAAAAATGGAAATAAAACTTAAGTTAACTAAACGTCATCGAGGTTCTCCAGTGATCATTGCAGGTTTTAATACTTTTAGCTGATCATTAGTTATTAATGCTGCTCTTCATCAACAATCTGCTCACGTCTCCTCAGGACTAAAGTGGGGGTGTTCCTTTGCGGCCCCCCCCAGCTCGGGAAATCCCTGGAGAAACAATGTCTGTCCCACTCGGAGGCCGACGTCAAGTTCATCTTCAACAAGGAGAACTTCTAAGAACTTACTTTCCAAGTACTGAGACAAAGTGTTCAGGGTTTTTTTTTGCTAAGAAGCAGAGACCACTGCCCCCCCCCCCAACAACACCCCCTCTGTTTCCCTGCAGCAGCTTCTGTTACTGTGTGACTTGTGCACTCGTGTTTATTTAAATCAGACAAGTAGAAGAGGCTGTGTAGACATCTGTGTGTACTTGTGTGTAGTTCTATCTTGCCGTTATCGTTGTACTTTTTCACATGCAGGTCGGAGGTTGAATTCCTCTTTCCAATAATAAACTTTAACTTCAAGAGCTTCGGTGGTCAGTTATTACTTTTAGGTCAAATCTAAGTCCCAACAAAGAACATCTATTATGTTTGAGTATTTTCTCAGCGGGGAACTGGTACTTTACGGAATACTTCCTACAGCTGGTAATAAAGATTTGAGAATATTTATACATTTCTTTCAACTAACTAAACATGTGTACAGAAGTACAATAGCTCCCTCTGTTATGTATAAAAAGGGAGCAACCAGCCCAAGTAAAAGTACCTCAGCCTTGTACTCTATAAACGTATTGAGTTACATCAGTGATGCAGAAACACAAACAGAACATGAAGACAAACCGGTCATGTTCAAACCTTTATTGAGTTAAGATAAAAGCCTCAACATCATATTTCTTGTTTATTTTCTGGCAAATGGCTCAGAAAAAGAAACACTTGTAGAACAGATACACGTTTTAAACATGAAACCACAGAAGAAGACTCCAGCTGCAGCAAATGATAAATAAAGAGAGATCAATACTTTGCGATGATTGCATGCATCTGAAGGCAGAAAATAGTCGTTTTCCTCTGGGGGGGTCAAAGGTCAAGCCGCCAGGAGGCTCTCTGGGGCCCCCTGGTGTTCACAGGACACCGACCTACGCCACGGCCACAGCGAACACACTGACCACGCAGTACATGGTGCGGTTCTCCCACCTCACGGTGCAGCTGCCTGCAGGGACGAAACGACAACAGACGGCAGTGAGCTGATGGAACTGGACGAATCATCAGCTCCCCGACGGTCACGTGACTCCGCTCACCGTCCATAGCCGTGTCCCAGTAGCAGGAGTTAGCCGTGTGGAGGCCTGCTCCAGTTTTCTGCATCACAGCACACGTCACTGAACACAAAAACAAACATTTGTGCTCTAGTTTGAATATTGAACCTGGGTTTAGTCCCACATGTTTTCTTCCATCTTTAAGAGGTGCAATATGTTATTCATGCATCAAAGTTAGATTCCTTTGTGTTATTCTCTGCCAGAAGCGGTCATTCTTATCCAACGTTCAGACTCCATTAAGATGGACCTCCGCTCTTCCTCTGAAACACGCGAGGCTTCTTCAGAGGAGGTAAAGAGCTTGTGGGCCACGGACCCCGAAGGACCCAAAATGAACGTACCGATGTACTTGTAGGCTTTGCCCTGCTTCACCAGCTGTGTGAGGCAGCGCTCCACGATGCCGGCGGTCCATTTGTTCACCAGACTCTGGCTGTAGTCGTCAGCCCCGACGACGGCCTCGATGCACTGACACACGCAGCAGATCAGAGTTTACAGTCATGTGGAAGTCACCGGGCGGGAGGCGGAGACACTCCCCCGAACGGCCGTTTTATCAACACATTTCATGTTTAGTGAGTCAAAACCGCAGAGAAACAAAGACGACGGTCTTTAAAAAGAGCTTGAAGACATTTATTGTCATATCTATGTGGCTGGATCGTCATTTATTTTTCCCAAAGTCACAGTTAAACAATTTAACGTGTGGGAAATAGAGACTGGACGATGGGTGAAATGTCACATGATGACCTCATGAAAGCGGTTTAATTGTACTGCTTTTAATTTAGTTATTAACCAGAATGATAAATTAAGCATGTGCCTCAGAATAATAGAGAGAATGGGTCAAATGTTTTTCACATTATTAATGAATTAAACAAATAACAGGGACAAAGTTAGTTTGAATAGATGAAATAAAATAATCATTTCAAGCTAATTGAAAAAGGGGAAACAAAAGAAAGGTTGACATTACCTCTTTCACGATGCTATCAGCTTCTTCACAGTTGAATGAGCTCTGATGAGTGAGAAACACATCAACATGCAGAGTTAATACTATGTGACGTAAGAGACGGTCAGTTTGTGTATTTGTAATGTTGTATAAATACTTTTACTGTTAGCAGTCGGTTTAGCATTAGCTCACTCAAATTAACACATGAACAGTATTACACGATGAATGTCCCTTAATTCACCCTACTAACCAGCTGACTAACAGGCAGGCTTAACTAACTAACTCTGGAAATAGTATGCAAAACTATATGTTTACATCAAAAAGCAGCGTTGGCATCAGAAACCATGTTAAGGAGCGGCTAGCTGGGGGAGCTAGTGCAGCTAGCCCGCGACCAGCTAGCCAACTTCTACCGACTCGGGACGAACCTCGCTGCCGTTATTATACTCCTCCATCCCCGTCATCTCCCGCCGCTCCACGGGCCCCGGAGGCTTGGTTTTATTCAGAGAAAAGGAGAAGAAAAGGAGAATTTTTCCTTAAAGGAAAATGCGGAGCTTCCGGTGAACTGTCAACAGACTAAAATAAAGAGCGACGAAGAAGAAGAGCCGGTGAGCAGCCGGTGACGCCTGCCGGTAGCGGCAGGTAACTGCGTCTTAACGACCAGCTGTAGTACGTTGAGTCACTCGTTTATTCCATTTATAGATTCACAAAAAGGGAAACAGAACAAGTACAAACGAACAGGACATAACGTGTTTTAACTGTTCTTTAAAATGTACCGTGTTAGTGTCCATCCGGTTTCTTCTTCTTTAACTATAGTCTTCTTCTTTTTCTTCTCTCGATCCGAAATCAAACTTTATTTAAAATGTTAATGAGGACAATTCCTCGATCACTGTGGTTCAAATCTATTTTGAGGTAATTCCACCACCCAGTAGGATGGGGAGAATATAAAACTGGCTCAATTGACAAACAGCGATTAAAATCACATGTATTCGTTATTGATAAAACACTGAAGGGTAACACCTATTTATTCTTATGTATATATTCATATATATTATCTAGTTCCAGATATCTTGGTTCAGTGCTTTTCTCAAGCTTGAATGAACTGGAAATAAAATAAAATAAATGAAAAGACATGTTCAGCTGTATGTGAAAAGGTTTTACTGATATAGCAAAATCCATTAATATAAAGGTGATTTCATATGAAATTATTATGTCATGATATAAAACTGATCACATCTAAAGTGCGAAAATGTGCTCAAGGACCATGTCATTATAAATATGATTATTTAAATCCTCACAGTTTAGAATTCCCTCTCTCACACACACACACACACACACACACACAGAGGCTCAATAAAGGGTTCTTGGGGAGGAGCTGGCTCAGCTGAAGGTCACTTGTGAACGTAAAGTGGTCGATTTAAAGAAGTGAACACCGTCAGGAAGTCAAAGAAAATATCATCAGTGCAGCTTTTCTTTCTTGTTTAGGACAGTTGGAGAACTTCTCCAGAGATGGTGTAAAAAGGGGACGCTTTAACCGTTTCACACTTTGGTCTTTTCAAAATAAGAGTTTATCTGCAGGGTTCACAGCAGGCTGCAGGCTCCGGAGCGAGGGCCCCTGGCTCCAGAGGGCAGCGCTCTCTGCTGGACGGGGGTCTGGTCCTGGGGTTTGGGGGGCCGTCTGAAGAGAGAGAGCTGAAAGGAGGACAGAGGGTGTAAGACGCCGCGCTCTGTGGCCCGCCGGCTGTGGAGGCGTCGGCGGGTACCTTTTTGCTGGAGCCCCGTTGGCTCTTGGAGTTGATGTCCCCCGTCCCATTGGCCGGTTTGGGGCCGGCGTCCGTCTCCTCGTCCCGTGTGGTGGCGGGCGGCTCGCTGACTTCTGCTGCTGTTGATCACGGACATCATGTTGGTGAAGGTTCACGTCATCACAGAACTTCTAGGATACATTGATTGTGTATTTGGTTTCACACGACACAGAACGCATGAACCTTTCTGCTCGCCCTCAGTTTGGGAGTCTCCTTCCAGCTCTTCAGGCTCCTGCAAAGATCAGTGGTTTCATTTTGGTATCAACAGGAAGTATGAATGAACGTGGAATCGTCTGTCAACTCACAGCACTCGGAGTCTCCTCCGTCGGCTCGTCTACACTCTGCTCAGCCGATGTATCCGTGTCCTCTCCCTCCTGTTCCTCCTCCTCTCCGTCCTCTCGACCTTTGCTCCACGTCGGAGATCCTTTAGTCGCATCCTGATGAAACGTGTCAATCAAAGATTTCATAATCAGATCTTTCATTTAAGACAAGATAGTTTGTGTACGGTCAAACGACTAAAGAGGAAGGAAGGACGTCTTGGTCCTACTGGGATGGTTTGGTAGTTCCTCCAGACTACAGCAGTGCATGCTGGGACGCGACTACGGGAGGGATTATGAACACAAAGAGCCCCACCTGATCCGAAACATCTCAACATCTGGAAAACTCCAGACAGGAAGTCATTCAGCAGGAAACAGTGCAAGTTATCAAACACCTCAGTTTGAAGAAAACTATCAAATTAAACACAAAGAAATATAAATGAAATGAATACTAGAAAATAAAAGCAATCAGAACTCTGTGGATAGTTGGTTCTGATCTGAAAATGAATAAAGTTTGGTTTTTATTTTAAACATTTGGTGGTTAAAAATCCAACAGACAGAAACAAAAGAAATACAATAAAACCGATTTTTTATTCCAACAAATAAATGAATAAAAAGAGAAAATGAAATGATTAAAAATGTAAACGTTATAATCAGAGCAGTCAGTGAAGGCACCGTGAGCGATGAGTTCAGGGACCTGCTGAGTCTTCATGGGGAAGCAGATGTGATGCTGGTTATTTCAGCTGGAGGTACTGAGGCAGAACGTCGTCCCAGAACTCCTCCGACTCGTCTGCTGCCTGACCTTTGACCCCTGACCGCCGCCTACTTCCAGACTTTACACTTTTCACCTCAGAAGACCTTTTCTCTTCCACAACTTCCTCCTCTTCTTCTTCACCTTCCTCCTCCTCCTCACCACTATCAACCTCTTCTTCCTCACTCTCTTTTTCCTCTTCTGCCTCGTCCTCAGCACTCTCTTCCTCTTCCTCCTTTTCATCTTCCTCCTCCTCTCCCGCCTCCTCCTCACCTTCACTCTCCTCTTCCTCCTCCTTTTCACCTTCACTCTCCTCTTCCTCCTCCTCCTCTTCCTCCTCCTCCTCCTCCTGCTGCTTTTCATCTTCACTCTCCTCTTCCTCCTCTTCTTCATTTTCACCCTCTTCTTCCTCACTACTCTCTGTCTCTTCCTCTTCATCCTCAGCACTACTTTCCTCCTCCTCTTCTCCTCCCTCTGTCTCACTCTCTTCTTCCTCCTGTGATGACTTGGAGGACTCACTTTCATCTTCCTCTTCCTCACCTTCAGACTCTCCTCCTTCGCTCTCTGTGTCATGACTCGACTCTTCTTCACTTCCTTCCTCCTCTTCCTCTCCTTCTGCATCCCCTAAATTGCTCTCCTTTGATTCCGTCTCATCTTCACTTTTACTTCCTGCTGTGGAGGTAGCCTCCTCTTCCTCCAACACACTGCCCTCCTCTTCCTCCTCTGCTTCCTCCTCCAACACACTGCCCTCCTCTTCCTCCTCTGCTTCCTCCTCCAACACACTGCCCTCCTCTTCCTCCTCTGCTTCCTCCTCCAACACACTGCCCTCCTCTTCCTCCTCTGCCTCCTCCTCCAACACACTGCTCTCCTCTTCCTCCTCTGCTTCCTCCTCCAACACACTGCCCTCCTCTTCCTCCTCTGCCTCCTCCTCCAACACACTGCTCTCCTCTTCCTCCTCTGCCTCCTCCTCCAACACACTGCCCTCCTCTTCCTCCTCTGCCTCCTCCTCCAACACACTGCTCTCCTCTTCCTCCTCTGCTTCCTCCTCATCTCTGCTCTTCTCTTTCTCAATGTCGGACTCATCCTCAGCTTGAAGAGTGTTGCTGTCTTCTTCTTCTTCTTCTTCTTCTGTAAATTCCTTAATAAAGTGAGTGACTTCTTTTTCTTCCTCCTCTTCCTCCTCCTCGTCCTCCTCGTCCTCCTCCTCACTGACTTCTGCCCCTGTCCTCTTCCCTCCCTCGTCGTCCTCCTCGTCCTCCTCCTCGTCCTTCTCCGCCAGTGCAGAGTCCGTCCTCCCTCCCCCCCGTCCCCTCCCTTCCTCCCCCCCCTGACCCTCAGGTATGATGTTGATGCTTAAATCGCCGCGGTAGGATTTGGCCTCTTCGTTCTCCTCCAGGAGGCTCCGCCTGCTCTCAGATGGCGGCGCAGAGCTTCTGGATGCCGCCTGGTGCATCATCAGCGCCCCCCCCGCGGCGAGAGCGGCGGCTCCGGCGAGCAGGCCGAGCTTTGCCGTCTTGGCCTTTTTTTTGTTTTCCTCGCTCTTAGACCTCTTCAGAAGGTCGCTGCTCTCGGGAAGCTGCGATTCGTCTCCCCCCTCAGGGAGGCGCAGAGGGCCTCCCGAGCTCTCTCCCTCCAGATGTCGGCCTGCCGGGCTCCCCGTGTGCCGACTCTGCACCGCGATGGCTGTGCTTTGGACTCGGACGGGTTCAGAGTCCAGGGAGTCGGCTCCCAGCCTCCTGCTGACCTCCGTCAGCTGGCCCCTCCCCTCAGCCGGCCGGAGCCGCCGCCTGGAGGCCGTCCTCCTGGAGGCCGTCCCCCTGGAGGCCGTCCCCCTGATGTCCCCGGCGCTGGGCTTGTCCCTGCTGGGCTTCCTCTGCAGCTGCTCCATCACGTTCTCTTTGTTCCGATTGGTGGTTCTGCGTCGAGGGGGGTTCAGAGCCCCACCAGGGGACAAGCTGCTCTGCACCCAGAGCTTCCTCTCCTCTTTTGGGTTCCCTTTGGAGGCCTTAGGGGGCTTACGCTTCCTCTATCGCCAGAAGCAGGCGAGAGGAGGGTGCAGGAGAGACATGCATTAGAGAGGAGAGGAAAGGAGACATGCATTAGAGAAGAGAGGAAAGGAGGCATGCTGTAGAGAGGACAGGAAAGGAGACATGCATTAGCGAGGAGAGGAGACATGCATTAGAGAGAGGAAAGGAAAGGAGGCATGCATTAGAGAGAGTAAAGGAAAGGAGGCATGCATTAGAGAGAAGAAAGGAAAAGAGACATGCATTAGAGAGGAAAGGAGACATGCATTAGAGAGGAGAGGAGACATGCATTAGAGAGAGGAAAGGAAAGGAGACATGCATTAGAGAGGAGAGGAGACATGCATTAGAGAGAGGAAAGGAAAGGAGACATGCATTAGAGAGGAAAGGAGACATGCATTAGAGAGGAGAGGAGACATGCATTAGAGAGAGGAAAGGAAAGGAGACATGCATTAGAGAGGAGAGGAGACATGCATTAGAGAGAGGAAAGGAAAGGAGACATGCATTAGAGAGGAAAGGAGACATGCATTAGAGGGGAGAGGAAATGAGACATTCATTAGAGAGGAGAGGAGACATGCATTAGAGGGGAGAGGAAAGGAGACATACATTAGAGAGGAGACATGCATTAGAGAGAGGAAAGGAGACATACATTAGAGAGGAGAGGAGACATGCATTAGAGAGAGGAAAGGAAAGGAGGCATGCATTAGAGAGGAGAGGAAAGGAGGCATGCTGTAAAGAGTAAAGGAAAGGAGACGTGTAGAGGAACCAAGAGAGACTGAAGGAATGAACTCATTAATAATTAACATCTGGGCCATTGAAGTAGTGATGTTTAGACGGTTCTGCGAGGTTCTGATCCGGTCAGTGGTCCACACGCTGTGTTAAGGGCTGTTGTCTATTGAAGGGAATCTTTGCGGGAGGGTTCGGACAGTTACCTTCTGAACTGGAGACAAAGTGAGCGATTGATCAGCAGGGTCCATCTTCATCACGTGTGTCTAGCGGGAGGAAGAAGAGAAGGAGGTAAGAAGCAGCAGCGGTGGATGAGCTGGAGCGTCCTCCGGTTCCTCACCATGTTCAGGAAGTCGGAGGTTTCTCCCAGGCCCGTCACGCTGTCGCTGTCCGTCAGGCTCTCCACCACGCTGTCTGCGTCGCCCGCTGTCTGCTCTGCAATACAGGACGTCCCGATTAAACCCCATCGCGCCCGCTTGGAAAAAACGCCCTGCGGAGAAAGTGGCTTTTGGTAAAAGAAAATTAGACCTTTAGTTATTTGAAAAATTCATATATTTCCTTCATCCGTCTGTGAAGCCCTTCGAAGGGACACAACAGAACACAGACTACACCATGAGAGGAGGCAGCAGCGGTGAGATGAAAGGTGTAGTTCCATTGGAACAGAGGTCTGTTCCTGGGGGAGGAGGTGGAGGTGAGGTGGAGGTGAGGTAGGTACCCTGCTGCATTGACCCTGCGCTCCTGTGTTGGTGAGTGCCGTTGAGCACCTTTCTGTGGCTCAGCTCAGGTGGAGGCAGCCTGGGCGGGAAGCTCTGGCTGGAGAGGGGCAGCGGGTGGAGGTGGCCGGGCGCCGTGGCGAACTGCTCCGGGGATCTCTCCTGAGGGGAGGATGGGGGAGGAGAGGGGTGAGGACGAGGTTCTGCCGTGCGGGTGGGTCCAGAGCTCCGTACCCACCCTCTCCCTCCGGCGGACCCGAGCCGAGAGGCTCCTCTGCAGGGTGGAGCAGTCGGCCGTGTCCCCCAGCAGCTCCACGTACGGCTTCTCCAGGTAGTCCTCCGTCACGTCGTCCTCCTCCAGAGTCACGTGAGCCCGGCTCTCGTCCCTCGGCCGGGCCAGAACCACCATGTGGCAGCCGCCGCACGAAGCCTGGCCAGAGACAAGCTTCTTTATCGTCCTCACATTAGTGAACAAATCCCCGTTACATCAATATTACTTTAGCAGCTACTTTTATTTCACCTGAATACAGAACAAAAGATGTACGTTACAACGACTATTTAGACGCACTGCCTGAACGTTGTACTGGAGGAAGCGTGGACTCAGGGTGGGTTTGAACTGGTTGGTGAAGTTCTCTTCTCCCAGGCCCAGTTTCCCGTGTCGACCGTCTCCGAAGGTGTAGAGCAGGCCGCCGTCTGGGGATGAGAAACAGCGCAGGGAGGCGTGAGCCTCTCTGGTCCAACCAGCGAAGAAGAACCCCGTCAAAGCCCCGCGTGACCTGTGACGACGGCGGTGTGGTTTTCTCCGCAGGTCACATGACGGACGCGCCCCTTCTTGAAGTGGCGGACGGGCCGCGGCACTCGAGCCTCGAAGTCGAACGTCCCGTGACCGAGTTGTCCGAACTGACCCAGACCGAAGGTGAAGACGGCGTCCTCTGAGGGACGAGAAGCCCGAGAACCAGAGACACGACCCATAAACATTTCCTTTCTGATAGATTGACGCGTGTGGTCTGCGGCCATATTTGTAGTTCCTGCCCCACCTGTGAGGGCCACCGTGTGTCCTCCTCCACAGGCCACCTGGCTCACCGGCTCCTTCAGGCTCTTCACCGGCTGGGGGACGCGGTGCCGGGCCAGCTGCTCCGTGCTCAGGCCCAGTTTACCGCTGTCCCGCTCGCCAAAGGTGTACAGAGCGCCGTCAGCTGAGACACACACGCACACACACACACGGCGTCACTGCAGACACTAATCTGGTGATCAGAAGCGGTTATTTGGTTCATCAGCAGAGGTTGTTAATAAACGCCGTGTTAAAGGACATTCATTCTCAGATCCATACCCATAACTCCGCCCCCCCCGCGCTCACCTGTGACCAAGGCGGAGTGGTAGTATCCACAGGACACCCAGCTGATCGGCCGTCCCACGCTGACTTCCTGAGGCGACGAGGCGTGGCTCTCCTTCCCCAAACCGATCTGCCCCTCCGTGTTGTCGCCCCACATGAACAGTTTACCGCTCTCTGTGATGCATTTAGAACAGGAGAACGTTTTACTGTCAACTTCTTTTTAATAATGAAAATAAAAAATATATATTCAGTGAAATATTTAGAAAATAAAACAATATGAATAAAGTTAAACTGTTTACTGGAATAATTCGATTTTTTAAATTGATGGATTTTTTTGAAGTCCACAGACTTTTTAAATCTAAAAACTGTTTATTGTTATATTTTAAAATGTTCATAAAAGAAATGCTCCACATTAAAGGAATGTGTGAGCGCCACCTGTGAGAGCAGCGGAGGTGTTGGAGCCGGCAGCGAGCATTTTGATTGGTCCGTGTGAATCCAGGAAGCCGATCCTCTGGAAGGACGTCCTCTCCTCGCAGTCGCCGAGCCCCAGCTGACCCTCGCTGTTCCCCCCCGAGGCGAACGCTTTGCCCCGAGCTTTAACGGAGGAAACACCGCTTTCAGCCGCGCAGACCCCTTTAGAAGCAGAACTCACCTGTCGGACACGCACCTGTGAAGATGAGGGTGTGGTTTCTCCCACAGGCCACCAGCTGGACCTTTTCACATTTAAGAGCTGAAATTACACAAGTAGAATAGTTAATGTGCAAAAGCCCTCCTGTATCTTAAGGTTAGCGTGTTCCTCCATCGGGAGGTGGAGCCTGACGAGTTGTCATGGAGACGGATGCGTTGACCTGTGAACTCAGTGTTGCCGTTTAAAGTAGTTTTAGAGTTTAAAGTTAAGAGCATGAAAAAAAAAGATTATCAGCAAACTTGAGTCGGAATAGTTTTGCTTTTAAATTGTTATATGAACAGTTTAAAAAAATAATAATAATAACTTTAATACTGAAGTTTAAAAGTTTCCCTCATCTTTTGACTAATATATTTGAGCAAATACCCAAATGATTGTGTAACAGCTGATTGTATTCAAATGGTTCGAGCCTCTTCAACTCTGTTTTATCTCCCCCAACCCGCCGCGTCTCCCCGCGGGCCGCCGCCTCCCCGGATTACAAGGATTACGGACCTTCCAGATTGGGATTACGATGGAATGGTTTTTCTCAGCACAAAGGGTCTTTGGGGACAAACTATGCTCTCCCTTCTCTTTTTTCAGCCTCAAACAGGAAGCAGAAGACCGACCTTTGACACAGGTGGGCTTGCTCGCGGTCAGCTTGGACCCCAGACCCAGCTGCCCCCAGTTGTTGCTTCCAAACATGAAGAGTTTCCCGTTTCCTGCGCGGGACAAAGACAGAATGATGCGTGTGTAGTTGACCTGATTCATTCTTCAAAAAGCCTCTTCCCTCTCACCTGTTATTAAGGCGGTGTGCTCGTCTCCGCACGCTATCTTTAAGGGGACGTCATTTTTCAGCCAGAATTTACTGGGTACGTTTTCGGCAAATTTGCTTTTTCCAAAGGTGAAAACTGCTCCTGATTCTGGCGGAGAAGAAAACAAGTCATGAGGGATGAAAGAACGTTTCAAACTGACAACAAATTCATCATAATTCAAGTTACATATATTTGAGGCAAACTTAAAAGTGTTACTTTATTTAACTGAATCAAAAACCTAACCAATATGATTAAGTGATTCAACGTAGAAATAATATAGAGTATGACATAATTTAACGTTACCAACTTTGGCATCCGAATATATATTTTATTTTACTTCTAATAATGTGTCACATGGTGTGCTTAATTAATTCTTACGCTCGTTTTGGTTCATAAATACGTTGCAGTTAGAAGCGGTTGAGGTGAATATAAAAAGGGTTCTTTCCTGTTAGCCGAGGCTAACGTGAACTCAACGAACCGCATGCTACCAGCTAACGCTAGCGAGCGCTTTGCATTTTAAAACAGCTAAAATAATGAAAGCAGCGTCTCTGTTCACCGGGTATCTCGTCCTCGGACTCCCCCGCCATGTCTGCAGGACTTTAATCCGCTTTGCGCTGTTTCGTGTCGTGCTGTTGCCCCTCTTGTTTTCGAGCAGGACAACCCGGAAGTAAACAGAACTTCTCCTAGGTTACGACGCTGTGACGTCATGACGCTGACAACGTGACCCTTAAGGGGACAGCGCCCATACGTTTCTGCATGGAAACGTATTTGTATACATTTATTTGAAATATTATGAAGCATATGCTATATTAATACGTGACTTTTACATTTAATCAAATATATAATAATAGATGTTATGCACTCTCCGTTTTTTGAATGTTGGTTGTTGAATTTTATTCACAAATACAAGTCATGTGAAACCACAACCTCAGTTAAAAGTTCCGTATCCCCATACGAGCTTGTGCAACGACCCTTAAATATTACCCTTAAGGATAATTATCTCTATCCTTCCCCAAATATCACATACACTACACACCCCGTATTATACAATAGACATTCTTCTATTCTGTCCAGGTATCACCACATAAAACATTTAAAACAATCTTGGGTGGAGGACAAAGGAAACACCTCTGTAGCCTGAAGGACACATGCAGAGCTTTTCCTTTGTTTGGTACTTTTCTACTGAGCAGAGAATGTGCAGTAGATCCCCCAGTGATCGCTGGTGTAGCGGCCACACTTGAGCTTCTCCAGCCCTACGAGGGCCATGCTCTCTGGCTCCAGCGCCGCGTCTCCACCGGCCCGCCCCAGGTAGAGCCGGTCGAAGCGGAAGCGGCTCTTGTAGCGGTGATCGTTGTTGGTGTTGGCGTGGGTGTCCCACGTGTAGCGGCAATCCTCCGGCTCTCCCAGCTGCTCCCACACATCGCAGACGCAGCCAGGAAGGCCCACTTTGGCCACCTGGGGGGGGGGCAGAGCGCGCATGAACAAAGTTCCTTATCTTTGTAATGTTCGGAAGAACAGACCGGGGGAAGCATCAAACCTCAGCATCCCTCAGGTTGGTGTCTCCTCCGAACAGGACGGTCACGTCATCGGGCACCTTCGCCATCCTCTTCATCACCAGCCTCAGCTGCTTCATCCGCTCTGCTGCATTGGCCTTACAGCTCTCAAAGTGGGACGTCATGAGACAGAACTTCCGGCCCCTGAACAGCACCTGATTGGAGGGGGACCACCTGTCAGGTCGGTGCACACGGAGAAAAGCTAAGATGAAATGTTCTGTGCACCAACCTGAGCGACCAGCAGGCTCCTCATCATGCCGGAGGTTGGATAGGCGACTGTCTCACTGTCCAGCAGTGTGATACGAGACTTCTTCAGCATCATCCCGATGAAGTAACCTTCCTTTCCACCTGCCCAGGGGGGGTTCGACATGCACAGTGCGTTACGGTCAGAGTATTCTCTCTTGGTTGGTGTTTGCACTGACCAATGCGTCAGACTCTAACTGAGGTATTGTGAGCAGGTACAAGCCACGCGTGGTCACAACCCACGTGCGTCCGTGGGGGGACATGCTGTGGAAACACCAGCGGGCCGCTTTGTGGTTCAGACCTTCGATGAACGTGTAGCGCTCCGCCAGGCGTTTCTTCATGAAGCGGGTGTACGGCTGGATGAGCTCCTGAAGCAGCACCACGTCAGGAGAGCGTCTGTGTGGAGAAGGAGACTGAACTGACCATCTGCTGAGGTTGGAGCATGAACCTGCTGAATCCCCATGACCTCGTGGAGCATGAACCTGCTGAATCCCCATGACCTCGTGGAGCATGAACCTGCTGAATCCCCATGACCTCGTGGCGCAAGGACATCGGCGTCCTGGGGCCTCACTTATAGAACCTTGCGTAGAAGTGGCGTACGGATGAAACGTAGTTTTCCCTTAATAAAACACACTCACTTCTAAATGCAGCGCAGCTTTTGCGGCTTCATGTCACGCCCACAGTTGCCCATATATAGTCTGTGGAACGCCCACAAATTAATATTCATCGTTTGCGACACCGGAGCTGTCCCCTCCTGATGAGAGACTGGCGGCAGTGATCGGGGATCGGGGACAGGGTCTGGGCCAACATCGGCGTCAGGGGGTCGAGGCGCGTTTGGAAGCTGAGCCACATCATGTAGCACAGCACACGCAGACCGATGTTACACACCTTCTCAGGAGCAAACAACAACCTCCTCCAGCGCAGTCGAGGCAGCGCCATCTGCCCTTAAACAGGCCGACGGTGCGCTGCACTACAGCGCCAATCCTTCCATGTGCCACGTCTCCTAAGAGCGCAGATCAGCCATCAGCGGCATTACGCATTGTGACGTCATCATGGCGTTTTATTACCGTCCATCTGACAAGCAACAGCTGTGTTTTGAGGACGAATTGCATAATATGCCGATATTATTGTAGAACATATTTCACTTTTCTTTTTGAAAATGTGTTAATTTGTATCTGTTTGTTTTACGCCGCAGATCAGACGGGTGTTCGTGTTATTTATGAGGCCGTATTGGCATTTCATTTACAACAGTCTAGTTTCACACCCGTTTGCGTGTTTCTTGCATTTGCCGACGGTTCCCATTCCACCCGTTTCTGTGCGTACGCGTGGGTCCGAGCCTGCGTGAAGGACCGCACATTTTTCCGTCAAGTTTGCTTTTTATAAACACCAATTATTGCGTAGAGAGCGGCGTACGCCTTCTTTTGTGCGTACGCAACGTTTATAAATGCAATATGCGATAAAATGACATATCGCACACTCTCAATAGGTTTTGGTCCTGCGATATTCATTTTACATCTAAATGAACGTCACCAACATTTCAGTTGATCACACAGACACATAGCATTTTATTACTATGCTATTGGCTTCATGTTATCAGCGGCATTAAATCGTCTAAAAATTGCATAATATCGCAATAAATGTTGGTGCAATAATCGCACAACAGAAATGTGATATGGAGATCCTGAGCACAGCCTTACGAGGTTAAGTAAGAGCAGAGGCCTCTCGCTCTCTCCGGCTGCTCCTCTCCATCGAGTCCATCCACATTCCAGGAGATCAGAGACAGTTTGGGGTGGTCTTCATCTTCCGGGTCATGTTCCGTTCCATGGACGCAAACTGCAGGACTGTCTCCAGCCTGGTTGCTGCTGAAGAAGGTTGCCGTTAAGTCACAAACTGTAAATGTAAATGTGAATCAGCGCATGTGGCACAGGGGACGTACCTGCTTCCTGGAGTACCTGCCTGCTCCTGCTCCTGCTCCCTGCTGGTTGAGCTCTTTTCTCGGGACTCACCTGTGGCCCCCAGCTGCTCCATGTCCGCCACAAGCTCTGAGAAAGACGCTTCCGAGGTGGGCTCGATCCCCTGTTACACCTGTGGTAACACACCTGTGTAACACACCTGTGTAACACAGCAGTCACAGCGGGTGTGAGGGCGAAACGAAAGTTTCGATTGTACAGAAACGGCCGCGCGTTGACGCGGAACCTTTGAAAGACGCTTTTGTTTGCGGTCGGGGTTTGAATCCCGGACCGACGGCAGGAAGCGAGGAGACGCAGCATCGCTGGTACTTTAAACTGTTATTGATGTGGTTTTGGTACGTTGGGAGCTGTTGTTGTGTTGACGTGTGGCCTCTTGCGGCTTCAATCCACCCGCATGTGCACAATGTAACATGTGTACGTTTGCTTATTGGATTAGGAGCTTAGAAACGTGGAGACGCGTGAGGGGGGATTCATGTGAATGTAGCACCGTTTTTAGTTCACCAGCCTGTTTATCACTATTTGGTCCCGCGATCGGCTTCTTTTACTAACGAGCTGTTCGCCGAATGAATGGGTGACTTCTCGTGGTTTGGATTTCATGTAAACTCGTTATAATTGGCGCTGAGAAGGAGCCGAACCATGAATTCGGCGTTTTGTGAAAGGAGTCTGGTGTGACATCCCCTCCCCGTGCGTACATATGAACCACTTTGTCTCAAATGGTGACCTCTTTGTATTCCCAGTAAACGGCCCCGTTACGGCCCAGAGGCGGAGCCGGCTCGAGCAGGTCCCAGACCAGGCTAAGGGACGCGTTCCTTGGGGGTGAGTGATTAAAAGCCTTCATTGGAACCTTCTGCAGACATCAGCTCGGTGGAGGGGAGACGGTCCAAATGGGTCCAAATGTCCTCATATAAAATCAAAGTCATATCAGGCTTCATCACGATAGAAATGGTTTTTATCTTCTGGACTGACGTAGTCTCCCTGAGGGCCGCGATGGAGGTGGGCGGGGCCCCCGCCGAGGTCCTCCTGCAGCGCCCGTGGCTTCCTGTGAGCATCGGCGGCTGCCAGCTGCTCGCCAAGAGCTGGTTCGGGGAGACGGCGTACCACGTCCTGCTGACGGACGTGAGCTGTGTGTGGGAGGAGAGGATGGACTCCTCGGCCATCCAGAGGAGAGCGAAGGTAGGCCCCCACCCCCCCACCCCCCCACCCACCCGCAGCGATCGTGGTTCCTCCCATGGATCCATGCGGTCTTCTTCTTCCCAGGAGCTCAACAGACGTCTGCAGGCCGAGGTCGAGGCCTTCTTCTCCCACCTGTGTGACGTGGTCCGGCCCTGTCTGACAGGGAGCGACGGGCCACCCGACGGCGACGCCCACATCTCGCTGGCGCGGCAGCCGGACGGAAACATGCGCATTAAGCTGAAGAGCAAGCTGGAGGAGCTTCCTTTCCACTGGGAGTTCCACTGCACCCCCGCCCCCGTCCCCGTGGTACAGCCCACAGCTTACAGGATGGGACCAGTTGGGACATTATGATTAAGCCACACCCCCCGCATAACCTCAGGTGTGCGTTTTCAGGTGTGCGGTCAGCTGGTGCGCCCCCTGCTGGCCATGAGCCACCTGCTGCAGCGGCAGGTGGAGCAGCTGGGGGGTCTGCTGGGGAGGAAGGACGCCGAGATCCAGGACTACAGAGAGAACGGAGCCACACTCAGCAGAGGTAACGCACACACACACACACACACACACACACCACAAAGCTCCCAAAACAACAACAGTCCAAATCCAGCATTGAATTTCTTCTCTGCTTTCGTAAAGTCATTTAGTGTGTAATGTTCACGTGTGTGTGTGTGTGTGTGTGTGTGTGTGTGTGTGTGTGTGTGTGTGTGTGTGTGTGTGTGTGTGTGTGTGTGTGTGTAACCAGAGCGGCTGCAGACACACACCTATGAGGAGGAAACATACAGAGAGGAGTTCATGTCAAAGGTGAGAGGCCACACACACACACACACACACACACACACACACACACACACACACACACACACACCGCCGGTGCCGGTGTAACAGCAGCCAATCACAGGTCACCGGGGGGCGGAGCCTATGAGATTACTGTATTCAGGTGTGGAATTTCTCATCTTTGTGTGCGTTGCTGACTGACAGGGCATTTCAGATCCACCTGTGGAATTTTCACTAAGCGTCTGCCCCCCCCCCCCCCAACCCCCCGCCTCCTTTAACTTCATTACAGCTCGAGCTGTTTTCTTGTTAGAGGTGACCAGAATTGGGGTTTACTTAAGGAAGTGACGCTGCTCGCTGGTGGTGGGGGGGGGGCTGTGCTCTGTAGCATCATGGGGGGTTCAGGGGGGACATCGGGGGGCTCCGTCTTCTTCCCTTGGTGGTCTCGTTGCTGGGACACTCAAATCACCACAGAAGAGGAAGAGGATCAAAGTCTTCTTCCTCGTGGCAAATTCCACTGGTCTGCGCCGCCTCCGGACCGAAGTCCAGCCCGAGGGGAACCCGCCGGGGGGAAATGTCACCGGGACGCGTCAAAGGAGCGTCGCACACCGCGTGTGTGTGTGTGTCAGCAGGAGAAACCCAGCTGAAGGCGTTTGTCGTGTGTGTGCAGTATTTATCTATCAGGGTGTGTGTGTGTGTGTGTATGTGTTGTCTATGTTTGTCTCCATGGTGACGCTCACCACACACCGCCGGCCTACTGACGAATTCCCATCCAAGCTTTATCTTCCTAATATCACACACACATCGGTGCGCTGTGTGTGTGTGCGTGTGCGTGTGCGTGTGGGTGTGGGTGTGTGTGTGTGTGTGTGTGCGCGTCTCTGAATTGAATTGTCCCCATTTCAGACGGGCGCACAAACGTTCTGCCTCGTGGGCTGCCGAGGAGCCCACAGGCCGGCCGCGTGGCGCCGAGGTGTTGAGGCCAGTAGGAGCATGGCGGCGACGGGGAGGTCCAATGAGGGCTGCAGGAACCTTGGCGAGGAGGAAGGCTCCTCCTCGTCTTCCTCCGTGAATCATTGACGGGCCCGGCCGGCGTCTCTCGGTCTCACCTAGCTGAGGAATTGCGGGCGGCGAAGAGAAGAAGAAGCCCGTGGGCATCAAAGAACCTTTGGAGCCTCCATGTGGAGCTTGAAGGACAAATATCCCCGCGTCTTATGAAAAGAGAACTTGTGAAGATCAACACAAGGATTCATTCCTTTGTGTCTTCTTACCTGGACCCTGATGGGACCCGGTAGGACCGGGTCTGTTGTGGGTCTCCACTCGTCCTCTTCGTTGAGGAGCTCTGTCCGTCTTGTTGGAGAAACTCACTGTAATTAGAATTTATTCAGAGGGAAAAGAAGCAAAGTTCATAAGAGAGTAACGAAGCTCAGAGCGTGCCCCCCCCCCCCCCCCCCCGTCCCAGCTCTGTGGCCGGGCTGCTCCCCTCTGCAGCGGCCTGTGAGCGCGCCGGATGTCCCCCCGTCCCAAGCGGGGATCGGCTGGGCGGCATCGAGCCCACGGCGGCGTTTTCAGGGCCGAACAAAGCGATGTTGACGACCCGAGTTTGGGTGTCACGTATTATTGTGTAGGCGGACGGACTCTAGGACCCTGGGAAGGCCCACGCTGAGACGTCTCCGGAGGGAGACGGGAGGACAGGGCAACAAAGCAGCGAGCATTGTGGGAAATGTACTCCAGGTAAATCCTGGTTCATCTCGTGGCCTCCGTCGGGCGGGAGGAGTTACCGCTGTCCTCTGGCACCCTGATTACCCACAATGCACCTCGAGGTAACAATGTGGCGAGGAACGAGGCCGAGTGAACATGAGGGCAGCAGAGGGGAGGAAGAGGCGAGAGGGAGACTCTTCGGCACCTGGAGGTGGTCGACGACCCGAGCTAATGAGAGAGCATCGTGCTCTGCAGGAGGGGGAGGAGCCTGGAGGCCTCCAGGTGAGCGCCCCTCCTCCTCCTCCTCCTCCTTCGTTGAGAACTTTGCTCCGTTGCAAGAGGAGGGGTAACTTTCCAGAAATCATTGCGACTAAACAGGGGAGAGGTTGTTGACCCGCTGTAATCTCCTTTATGTGCCTCATAAATACGAAGCCCCCCAACCGCCGCACGCACAAAAACACTCCCCACCCCATAATGTCTAAAGGTTAAGCTAGAGCCAGTGTTGGAGGTCATGACCTCATCACACTATGGGGCTCATATTTGGGACATCATGAAATGAACAAAAGCGCCGGCGTGTGGTCTTCCTGGCGGGGGGGGGCGGGGCTTAACAGGGGTCAAGTGAACTGCACGTTGCTCATGAATTGACGTGCGCTGCAGCCGGAGGAGGGGAAGCGGATAAAAAGGGCTTTCTGCTGCACATTGCGTTCTCTGTGCCCAAAGCAGAACGAAGCCTCACCAGATCATTTACATTTATTTTTACGATATTTAAACCAACAAATAACAAAAATAAATCAATGCAAAACCTCTAAAGCTGACCGAAGTGTGTTTAGGAGCCCCTCTGCTCTGACAGCGAGCGCGAGACCACCAATTTCACCCGGTCAATATTTGAGGAGCTAATTCGGAGAGTTTGTCCCCTCCGTCGGGGGAGGAAGAGGGATTTACTGAATAGTGTGCGATTCTGCACGCGCAGGCCGTGCCTTTGCATAATGTCGTTGACACGCACCCTTATCTCTGTGCGTGTGTGTGTGTGTGTGTGTGCGCGTGCGAGCGTGCGTGCGTGCGTGCGTGCGTGTGTGTGTACCTGTGGTCAGCTGTGCCAATAATGCAGCTTTGATTAGAGGCTTATCGCAGCTCCGTCACACCTCGGGCATGTGACTCCTCCGGCAGAGCCGTAAAACAAACGCACCCGAGCGCCTCGAAAGGACACTTTCATGCTTCGAGTTCATGCACCTGAGTATCAGTGTTTGATATTTTAATGGCTTTAGAGCTGCACAAGTGGCCTGAAGGTGAAAGCAGCTCAGAAGTGGAGAATCAACGATGATGAATAAATAAAACATGGGGGATGTTGTTCAATCTATTTGTGTTTAGGAGGGAAATAAACAAACTGTCGCGGAGCAGATCGGAAGTACGTCTGTTGCCACGGTAACCGATAAACAGCTGAGGTCCAAACTCCACGTGCCTCTGAAACACAATCCACCGTGTGCGTGATGCTTCTGGTCACCCGACCAGATAAATCCTAATAAAAGAAGGGAAGCTTGAATCACCCCCCCCCCCCCTCCCCCCCAAGGTCTTTCTTTTCTGGCCTCTGAACAATCCGAGGCTCTGGGTTTCAACGCCGACCTCCAACGCCTGTACGCCGCGGTGGTCGCCCGCGGCAACGCTCGGAAACGCAAACTGTCCGAGGAGCAGCAGACAGCCGCCGTGGCCCCGTGTTTAGGTCAGTATACATCACAGATATATATATATATATATACAAATAGTACGCATGTGGACATTATGTCCTCGTCCTCCAGGTGGATCCGTCTCCAGTGAAGCAGGTGAAGGCGGGAAGGAGCAGGCTGCTGCATCCAAGATGGCCGACAGACCCGGCGCACATCAGGTACGGAGGGGACCCGTCCTTCGCTGAGTCACGAGTCAGAGCGAAACCACAGGGACGCTGTGATTGAAAGTGCCAATAATCACGCTCAATAAAGCAACGTGTCCCCTTCCTGTGCTGCAGTCTGTCCCCGTCCTGTCCAATCCGCCCGCACGCCCGTCCTCCAAACCAAAGAAGAAGAAAGCAGTGGGCCTGTTCCGGTGACCTCCTCCTGTCTGAAGGGTGTGCTCCTTTTAACCAAGTTTTACTTTTGACAAAATGACTTTGATTATGGCTCAACTTTTAGATTAAAAATGCTTTTAAAGTCTTAATTAAACGTGTTTCATTTTTGATTGCTGTCTTTGTTCTTCTCGTGGCTCTACGAGGTGTTTTAATGAAGAGGAGCATCCGACTGGATGTAGTGTGTGTGTGTGTGTCGGTGACGTCACGGACACGCAGGCCGATGGAGACGTTTCTCACAGCACTGAGATGTTGACTCAAGGTGCTGCAGCATATGGAGACATTAAGTCCATTAAGTCCCTGAGTGGGGGGGGGGGGGGGGCATTAATTAAAAAAAGAATCTCAAAAGATTCAGGCGTTTTAAAGCTTGACTGGTTTGTCAAAGGGCATTCTGGGTAATCTCTGGGGATACTTCAATGGCGTCACTCGGACCCTCGTGTCGCAACAGGAGGGCGCGGGACGCCTTAACGCGCGCACCTGCTCGTGCGTCTTTAACTCGGAGACCATATGAGGCGGCGCGCGCGTGGCTCGCCGTCCGTCTGTCTGTCCTCTTGGCCGGAGACATGAAGGCGGCCGCGGGGCCGGTGCCACCCCGGTGGGAGGAGAGGACGCGGCGTAGGGCAGGTCCGGCAGGGCGCGGTCTTCTTCTTCTGCCGCGGCACCTCATCTGTTCTGTCGTAGGATCTCTTCCATTTCTGCCACAGGGACGCATTGAGAAACAAGCCCAGAGGGAGACAAACCGCTGCGGGGACACCCTTTGACCGCCGCGCCCGACAGACTGCGCGCCGCGCGCCTCCGCGTCTCTCTGCAGCGCTTTTCTCACAGCTCCGACGCAGAGACGCAGCTTTGAACCTGCCTGCCAAGACAAACTCACCGCCGCTATTTATGCCCCTACCTCCGCGGGCACTCGGGGCAGCGGAGAGCCAGCCGCCCAGGGGACAGCTTAAGGTCTCTCCGGGTCCTCTCCAGCGGCGCACGGGCCACCTTTACGCGCCGGGAATGGACACTTTTGGGGACCCGGGAACGAGTCCTGCTCCGTTAGAATCATAAAGGCGACTCAGGGCTCACCGAGGGAAGCACAGCCACCAGCTGGGGAGGGGGCACACACCGGCCCCGGGGCGGAATGCTGCTCCCGACGCTGGTGACGTGCCTCGCCGGGTGCGCCTTTCTCCTGTCGCCGGTCAGCGAGGGTTGCGGGCCGGGCAGAGGCTACGGCAAGAGGCGGTCACCGCGGAAACTGGCGCCGCTTGCCTACAAGCAGTTCAGCCCCAACGTGGCCGAGAAGACTTTAGGGGCCAGCGGGAGGTACGAAGGGAAAATAAGCCGGAGCTCTGAGCGCTTCAAGGAGCTCACCCCGAACTACAACCCCGACATCATCTTCAAGGATGAGGAGAACACAGGTGCAGACCGCATGATGACACAGGTAACCCTCCCTTTGGCCATTCCAACCTGCCTGCGAGGAGGCATCTCGCCGCGCTGCAGCGCACTTTGACCGGTCTTTACGCGCGCGGCCGCTATTCTCTCTGTCCGCCTTTCTTGTTGGCTCGAGGCTCGTCGTCGCTGCGGGAGGAATCCGGCTTTACAAACAGGCGGCGCATTGCGCTCACAGCTAAATCACTTCTGTCAGATACAAATCAAAGTGGGGTGTTCATGCCGGGGAACTGACGGCACACGTGTGTTGACACACCTCTTTGTTGCGTCCCTGGCTTCAAACCCCCCCGGCAGCTGGAATCAGAGCTCCGCTCTTCTGCTCCACGTGGACCTCCACAGGGTCACCGTGGCCAGCTGGTGCGTAAAGAGGGCAACCCCGTCTAAAAATGTTTGGAAAAGCGGTCGCCCTTAATTAAAACACTGGTCCTCTGTTTTACATCATGTTTCTGGGTGGAAAAACCGCCAAAAGTGGTATTTGGTTAGAGCTGGGTCACGCGGTGCGCATGTTTACCGTTTTCCTTTTAGCCCGGCTGCACAGTTAACAGTCGCCCTTTGGACTGTCGGGCTTCTTTTACGACACCGACATTGATGTGGCCCCGCGCGGAATTTATTTCACTCCCAATTTCCCAGGAACGGCGTATTTATATCTGGCTCTGGTGACCGCGGGCTTCCTCTCCGAGCGGCGGCGCTTGTGTCCCCAGACCAGCGTGGGGAGTGAGCGCGCACCCCCCCCTCCCGTGCGCAGCGCTCACCTCTCCGTGCGCGCTGCGACGTCAGAGTTCACTGGGCGACATCAGTGCGGGGGAGTGGGGGGCAAAGGCGCTATTCTCTGCCGCTGTTATTGCCCAATCTACCCTAAAAGCGCGTACACGTGGGGGGCGAAATGTCTCCAAACTGGAAACCTTCTGCAGCGCGCTCCGCGGAACCGCGCACAGTTTATGGGCTCCGAGCCGCAGGAGACAGCCTCGTGTTTGTCTCCTTCTATTCCGTGTTGCGTTTGTGTTTGTTTTCGCGGCGCACACGCGCAGAAATAATATAAATATATAAATAGCTCGAGTGGAGCTTTAATTACACAGACTTGTAGTCGGGTTGTTCCGGGTTGCCCACTAAGAAGTCCCCGCCGCCGATACCCTCCGTCTCGTTTGGTCAAACAAGGTCGCTTCTCTTCGGAGTGCACAGGTAATGCGCGTGACCCCCGCTTCCTCCCCATGTACGGGGCCGCCGTCGGGTCCGGATGGATGCGTAAAAGCTGCTCCGGGCAGGCAGCTCCCCATCGGCATCCAAACCCCCCCTCCCCGCGCGTCAGCGACGACCTGTCCCCTCGTGGGACGCGAACTAGACTCAGAGACGCCGCGTGAGACCGGGGGACCCGCTCGGCAGCGCGCTTAAAGGTGTGCACAGGCGTCCAATGTTTGTGCAGCCCGCGGTTTAGTGCTCCCACCCCCGTCGGTGTGCACACCTTGAGAGGAAAAGCCGCCGAATGTATCGTGTGATTTATGAAGGCCGGGCCCGTTGCGGTGACCGCAGTTAAAATCCACAGTGAACACCGTGAAAAGGCATCTGTGGCCCCCGAGACACGAGCTATTCTCATCCCAGCCGCGCGGAAAAAGGCCTTTATGGGGTCTGATCCCGCTTCATGAAACGAGACGCTGTGCGGAAACACAAGACCTCCTACTCACGATCTCACGCGTCCAGTCGCGCTTTTTTCAGCTCTTCTGTTGCAATAAAACGTCCCCGCTGGTCACATCTGAATTTAGATAAACAGACGTTTTAATAGCTTCTTGTGCTCATTTGGCTCTTTTAAATGTCCCTTTTTAGAAAGCAATGATATATAATAGTTTTATCAAATCCCAGGATGAGCGCTGTTTATATGTGTGAGCCAGTGAGAAATGGCGGTTGGCTCCAGCGGGGTCTTTGCTTCTTTTTAGACTGGCCCCCCCCCCCCCCAACCCCCCCCCATATGAACAACTACATCTCACATCCTGTTGATTAAATGAACTAAAGTGAGTTAAAGTTTACACATTAAACGTCTTCATAAGAGAGAAGGAAGAGGCATCAGCTGCTCTCAGGTGGGCCGGAGTTGAGTAGGCGAGGCCCAGGTATTACAGACTCCGCCCCCCTTTACAGACTCCGCCCCCTGGGCCTGAGGTCTTAATAGGGTTTGGTCCCGTGATCCAAATGCTGAGCTCATATAGAAGTCCTTCAAGAACCGTGTCCCGGCTCAGATCCTTTAGATGGGCCCAAGCGTGTGTGCGGATACCCTGTTAAATGTTCAGCAGCGCCCCCATCAGGCGGGAGCCTGAATGAGAATATTTTGAAACATGTTGATTCTTCTCCAAGTGATAAAAAAGGCTCTTGTGGGGTTCTAAATATCCCAGTTCAAACCCATCTGAACTTTCCTATTTAATATATATTTATTATTATTATCTGCGGGGCAGCGGAACACGTCCCGCCCCTCATCACCCCTTAACGCGGGCGGAGGAGATTACGGGAGCTGACTGGAGGATTTATCGCGCAGAGCCGAGTCCTTCAATCGGGCCTCTCACCTTCTGTTTGCTCAGCGGGACCAGACTCCCGGTTTAGAGGGACCCTGGGGACCTCTTGTTCATGTAGCCCCCCCGGCCCCTCCATCCATCCTCTACATCGCCTCCCTTCTCCCACCACACAGAGCAAACACCAGGGCTGGGACAGCAGGGGTGCATTCTGGGAAGGCTGAAGCCATTGACAGGGGGGGGGGGCAGCAGCAGCGGGCTGAGAGGTCAAAGGTGAAATCTGCAGCCGTTGAATACAAACGTTTCTGCAGGTTTTTCAAAATAAAAGCGCTCGCTGTCTCCATGTGAACCATGCGCGTCTTCTCCTCCAGCGCTGCAAAGACAAGCTGAACTCTCTGGCCATCTCGGTGATGAACCTGTGGCCCGGGGTCCGCCTGCGGGTCACCGAGGGCTGGGACGAGGACGGCCACCACTCGGAGGAGTCGCTGCACTACGAGGGCCGGGCCGTGGACATCACCACCTCGGACCGGGACCGCAACAAGTACGCCATGCTGGCGCGGCTGGCGGTGGAGGCGGGCTTCGACTGGGTCTATTACGAGTCCAAGGCCCACATCCACTGCAGCGTCAAGTCAGGTGAGCCTTTTGGTTTTCAAAGTAAAAGCCTCAGGACGCTTGGATCTCATTTGAAAGGTTTAACAAGCATCTTTCTCTCCGGATAACACGACTTATTCCAAGCAAATCCATCCCAGTGAGCCGGTTACTGGTTGTGTCCTTCATCCTGGTGAAGCTTTAACCCTCATGAACATTTGCATGTAGCTTTGTTTACTTCACAAAGCTACCTGATCACTAACCCTCCTGCTCGCACCGAAACCCACTTCAGCTCTCACCTTTTCCACCGTTTCTCTGTCCGTCTCGCTTCCTCGCATTTACGTCCCACGTCCCGTCTCCACTACTTTACCAATACAAAAATTCTCCTGGTTGAATCGGTGACAGCTGATTCAAGAGGGACGTTTTAGCTCCAGCATCCAGTCACGGAGCGTGAAGGTCTGAGGCTAAAGATCACCAGACTGTTTCTCTTCCCCATTTTAATCTTTGATCTGCTGCTGCTCTCACCAGCTTCCTCTCCATGGCAACACGCCGAGGCTCATGGGTACTGTAGTATTTGCAGCCACAATGTGACTAAAAACACAAGGTGTCAGACAGAAAGTGGATGAATGGTGTGTTTATATTCCCACGAGTAGGTTGCGTGTTAATACCTGAGGACACGTTGACATCAAGGCTCACGGTTTAAGGATTCTCCTCTTTCTCTTTTTCCTACTTCATCTCTCCTTTCCCTTCCCTTGTCTCTCCTTCCCTCCCAGATCGGGTTACGAGAGCCCGGTCCTTGACTTGATCAGAAGGGCAACCAATCAAGTTGGTATTTTAAATCATGTTTTTAACTTCTTTTTTAAATTTCCTTTAAAAGAATTTGTTCAAAATTCCTCATAACAGAAGTTGTTGTTGAGAAGATTCAAACCGCCTTAAGGACACTTAAAGGGGGCAGCGGAGGAAACGAGCACTAGGGGGCAGCGGAGGAAACGAGCACTAGGGGGCAGCAGAGGAAACGAGCACTAGGGGGCAGCGGAGGAAACGAGCACTAGGGGGCAGCGGAGGAAACGAGCACTAGGGGGCAGCGGAGGAAACGAGCACTAGGGGGCAGCGGAGGAAACGAGCACTAGGGGGCAGCAGAGGAAACGAGCACTAGGGGGCAGCGGAGGAAACGAGCACTAGGGGGCAGCGGAGGAAACGAGCACTAGGGGGCAGCGGAGGAAACGAGCACTAGGGGGCAGCGGAGGAAACGAGCACTAGGGTGCAGCGGAGGAAACGAGCACTAGGGTGCAGCGGAGGAAACGAGCACTAGGGGGCAGCGGAGGAAACGAGCACTAGGGGGCAGCGGAGGAAACGAGCACTAGGGGGCAGCGGAGGAAACGAGCACTAGGGGGCAGCGGAGGAAACGAGCACTAGGGGGCAGCAGAGCACCAGAACCTGAAAGGCACGACTTCATTTCCGACGTTTCTGTTTTTATTAGCATTATTTTGTATTAAACTAAATGCACATATTGCTGAGCAAACATATTTAAACTATCGCGACATCTGCAGGCTCAGGAAACAATATATTTAAAAAAAGAGAATATATATTTTTTTAAAATAATAAAATATCCATCCATCCTCACACCGCTCATCCTGCACACGGGGTCTTGGGGGGCTGGAGTCTGTCCAGCCTGCTTCAGGTGATAGACGGGTTCATCCTGGACGGGTCACCAGCCAATCACAGAGACACACAACCACTCACACACCTACAGGCAACTAGTCCCCATCAACCTGATCCCCAGAGCAGGTCTCTGGACTGTGGGGGGAAGACGCCGCTTTAGTGTCTCACACACACACACGCACACGCACACACACGGTTGTTCTGCTCACTGTTCCTTGATGTTTGAAGGAAGAAGTCAATATAATATAGAAGTCACGGATAAATAATCTAATACATGTGATGAGATCGTCTCATCTCCATGATCGCATTCAAAGTCATAATTGACTTTCTCCACGCCGCCGCCCTTTGACCCCCCCTCTGTCCCCCGGTCAGATCACTCCATGGCGGCTAAATCCGGAGGCTGCTTCCCCGCCGAGGCCTCGGTGACGTTGGCGAGCGGCGCTCAGAAGTCCATCGGCGACCTGCGACCAGGCGAGCGGGTCCTGGCGGCGGCGGGCGGCGAGCTGGTCTACAGCGAGGTGCTGGTCTTCCTGGACCGGGACCCGGTCACCTGGAAGCTCTTCTACACGCTGCACACGGAGGCCGGAGCACGCCTCTCGCTCACCGCCGCCCACCTCGTGTTCGTGTCCGGGGGGAACTGCTCAGAGGGCGGCGCCCTCGGCGCCGTGTACGCCAGCGACGCCCAGCCGGGGCAGTGCGTGCTGGTGTCGCGGGGGGAGGTGGGCCGGGGGCGTCTGTCCCGGATCACGCGGGTCAGCATGAGGGAGAGCAGGGGGGCCTTCGCGCCGCTCACGCAGCAGGGCACGCTGGTGGTGGACGGAGTGGTGACGTCCTGCTACGCGGTGGTGGACCAGCACTCCCTGGCCCACTGGGCCTTCTCGCCGCTTCGGCTGCTCCACAGCTGGACTGGTTCCACTGGCAGCCCCCGGGACGGGGTCCACTGGTACTCCCGGCTTTTACACTGGCTGGGCAGGATGCTGCTGGACTCGGGGCGCCTCCACCCGCTGGGCGCGGCGGCCCAGGGAGACCGGTGAGGTCAGCCAAAGGACGCAAGGGTGGAGACTTCTGACTGGACAGGACCACGATGGACCGCCTGACGTCTGGGTTTCTCCTGAGGCATCATGGGAGTTTTATAAGGAGGGAGGAAGGAGCCGCGAGCGGACAAAGGTGAACCAAAAGAAACACTCCGAGTCAAAAGACTCTAAGAAAAAGACCAAGTGACTCTGGGGAACCATAATCCCTTAATAATCCCTTAATAATCCCTTAATCTACACTTTACACTTGGGTTATCATCTTAAGGGCTCATTGAGGTCGGATACATTTGCAGGTACAAAATACTGAGCTTTTAAGGGATTTTCTTCTTCATCTTCACCCTCTTATTGGGGGTCGGATCGCAGGGGCCAGCAGGGGCCCCCAAACACCCCCTTCCCTCCTCCACATGGACCAGCTGAGACTGGGGGGGGTCCAGTGTGGAGCTCTAATCTCTCTAGTCCTCCCCAAGGCCTCGTCCCGGTATTCAGGTATCTTTTGCCACTTCAGCAATGTTCCAAATAAATATCGTATCACGTGGATTTAACGCCATTATGTTTAAATAACTTCAGCTTCACTGTTACTGGTTAAACATGAATCTTCATCGGAAATCACTTTAATTTGTGCAAAAAAAACATGAAAAATCCTAATATGTTACAGTTGTAAAATAATAATGAGTAACATGAACTAAAGTAAACGTCATCTTAAACTGTAACTTGATTAGTCAGATATGTCAAACGGAATGTGTCAATAAAGGGAAAGTATGAAGTAATGAATCCCATTAAGCTCTGAATACTGATGTGTGTTATATTCTATTTAATAATACTGCTTTAATCAATAAATTATAGAGTGTATTTAAGTATCATTTGTTTACACAAATCCAATATTGTTTCTGAAGTTATTTTTTAAATTAAATGATATGTAAATGACCTGAGTGTTGTCTTCCTTTGCTCCGTGAACGCACCACCGGTGCCACCCACCGGCTGCGGGACGGATTTAGGCTTCACTTCGGACTGTGTGTGCGCGCAGCGACGGACGCACACCACTTGCATGCGTGCAACAGATGCCGGCTAATAATACCGCCGCGCTGCGCCTTTAAGGAGGAAACCCAAACCCCGCGCGCGTCCTGTCTCCATCATTTATCAGAGGAGCAGCCGAGCCGCGAGCCTCTTTCTGCCGGCTCCCTGTTGTCTCGTCCCACATAAACCGGATTAAGTTACGCGTCGCGCCTCTGAGAAGCGGCCACCGGATTAGAGTCACGCGCAGCGAGCCGCGTCGCCCCGCCGACGGGTTTTACGCACGGTCGGCTTCCAGAGTAGAGGGTCTCCTTCAACGACCCCCCCGCCTCCAGCCTCCTGACCCCCGCGTCTCTCTCCTTCTGCACCGCCGGGGAGCCCTCCACGCCGCCGGACATGGCCGAGATGGGGAAAGGGGGCACGGCCGGGAAACTGGCCATCAGCGTCCAGAAGAGGCTGACCAGAGCGCAGGAGAAGGTACGCATGTCCCCCTGTCCCCGGGACACGACTTTTCACCTCCGCGTGCCTCTCACGTAGTGGCACCCCGTCGGGTCGGGGGTGTAGCTGCTGCATCGACTCACTGTTGGGTGTCTGGGACACAACGGGGGGCCAAGCTGGAGCCGTTACAATAATACATGCGTGTAAATGGGGTCAGGGGTCAAATCTCAACATTATAGATTATCCAAGGATCAATATTTCATAATCACAGATTGTATCGTCATCGGCAGATTGAGATGAAATGAAAAAGCAAAGGGATCCATTCTTTAAAAGTTATTATGGTCTGTCTTCTTAATCACGGGTGCTAAAGCCGAGGTTTTCCCCTCTAATCCCCAGGAGGGCTGTCCGTCACCCGCAGACATCCCTCACTGTCCTCACGACCCCCCCCCCCCCCGACCCCCGACCCCCCCGTGAGGAGGCACTGGTTCCCACGTCCCTCCGTCCTGCGTTACTGAAGCATTCAGCGCATTTCTATGACTTTGGACGTTTGTCGTGTCCTCAGAAGTACTTTCTAATGCGTAATACTACTTGTACTCAACATGAGCTGCAGGCCACAGACACAGGAAGTAGCTGAAGACTTTCACTTTCAGCACACACTCAGTATCAGGAACCCACTGACACCATTATCGTTATTGTCATTCAGCGAGTAGATGGTTTTGTTGATACTTATATGCTATGAAGCCGTACGGAGGAAACCCAAAGCTCGGAGCTGAGGAGGAAAGTATCACCTTCCTGAGGTGGGGGGGGGGGGGGGGGGGGGGGGGGCCTCACTTTTTTTTCTCTTGAAGGAAAAACGGGGCACCCATTTTACACCCCTGGCCCTAAAAGGGTTTATCAAAAGTGCTTTTTCACCACCAGGTTAAGTTGAATGACGTCGTTATTCTAGATAGCGAGTTTGGTTCAGAGCGCCGCGGTCGTCATGGTGATCAGGAACATCACGTCTCATGAGGCGTCAGCTGTGCACAAAGACGTGATGCTTCCATGATTTACAATTCAAAGCTAAAGTTAAAGAAGCTCACAGTTGCTCTGCCTGCACACCTGTCTCCCCCCCACCCCCCCCTCTCCCCCCAGCATGCCTCACTGCAGAAGGGGGGGGAGAGGGGGGGGTAATCTATCTATAGCCCCTTCAGGCCTCCTCCCCACTTTTAATAAACCACAAACTAGCCGTGTACTCCGGAGTATTTCTGAGGGGAACTGAACACCGAGACACACACACACACACACACACACACACACCCCGACACACACACACACACACACACACACACACGACACACACACACACACACACACGACACACACACACACACACACACACACACACCCCCACACACACACACACACACACACACACCCCGACACACACACACACACACACCCCGACACACACACACACACACACACACCCCGACATACACACACACACACACACCTCAAATGTTGTACAACCCACCACACCGAAGTTTACTTCCACACTTCACGGAGGGTCCCTGAAGGCACCACGAAGCGTTTGACAGGTGCACAATGAGACGGTGAAGGACACGCCAGTTGTGTCTCCAAATATAGATCCACATTTAAATAGACATGAATACGTCTAAACTGCAGACACGCGCTGGAAATGAAAGACACCACAAAGAAGCAGAAAGGGAAACAACAGACGTCACACAGAGCGCTGCTGTGTGTGCGTGCGTGTGCGTGCGTGTGTGTGCGTGTGCGTGCGTGTGGAGCAGAGGGGAAGTCCCCGTCGGGCTGATGGAGGTTTGTGTATCGGTCACAGGATTAGGGCAGCAGGTGGTGCTGATGGAGGCTCAGATTAGCCGGTGACCTTGTCTAAGGAGCGAAATGAGCAAATCGCTTTAAATGGATGTGACATCATCATTACACATCTAATGTTAAGAGTTACTCAACATATGTTTAAGAATAGATCATTGTGAATTAAAATGTAAAAACAATTAAAAAAACACTGATAAGATAGCTGATAGAAATTAATTGGATTAAAAATATAAAAATATAAATAGATGTATGAAATTTAAAAATAGGCATTTGTAGACAATTTGAAGAGAACATTTGTCAAATATAAAGAAAATATTTTTTGTGGAATAATATTAGTTTTCTTATTTCTAAATCAAGGAAGGAACCTGAAGGAACCTGCGCCGGTGTCACCGGGTCATTTGGTCATTGACCTTTGACCTCCTCATCTCTAACGTGTCGTTGACCTACAAACACCTCTCTGTTGTCGTATTGAGCGCGTGCCGTCTGCTCTGCAGGTCATGCAGAAGCTCGGCAAAGCGGACGAGACGCGAGACGCCGCCTTCGAGGAAATGGTGGCAAACTTCAACAAGCAGATGGTCAGCGGCCTCCTACTGCTCGATTTAAACACGTGTCTCTGCATGCAGCACAGAGGTCCACAGTGACGCTGCCTTTGCCCCCACAGACAGAGGGCGGTAAGCTGCAGAAGGACCTGAAGGCCTACCTGCTGGCAGTGAAGAGTGAGTGATGCAGGTAACCGGGCCGCGTGACTCCTCCTCCTCCTCTTCCTCACGCCCGCCTCTCTTGTGTTGCAGCCATGCACGACGCGTCCCGCCGGCTGCAGGACTGCCTCGCCGACATGTACGAGCCCGACTGGTTCGGCAAAGAGGAGATGGACGCGCTGACGGAGGTGAGACAGCGGACGCCGCCCCCCCCCGGCCTGGGGACAGAATACAGTGTTACTGTGTGCCTTCTTTTCTCCCCCCTAAGAGCTGTGCATGACTCTCCCCCTCTCTCCTCTCATAACTGCATGCGTCTGTCCTGAAGGAGATGATAGAGAAGGAGATGGACAATAACTTGGAGGTAAAAGGCAGAGACAGGAAGCTCATCGCTGAGGCAGAAACATCAGGGACCAACTGCTATTACTACATGTCAGACTCACTTTACGATGAAGGGTTCTAATGCAAAGGAGCATTTCTGCATCAGATACACTCATCAGTCATTGTGCATAATGAGTGTTTTCAGTGAGAGAATCCGTCTCATCCTGTGTGTGTGTGTGTGTGCGTCTTGAAGGACACAGACACGCTGTGGTTGGACTACCACCAGAACATCATGGATAAACCTTTGACCTCTCTGGACTCGTACCTGGCTCAGTTCCCCGATATTAAGGTCTTTGTCTCTTCTTCTTCTTCTTCTTCTTCTCACATTTTGAGTCCCCTGATTATGAAGAAATAAACAGGCGATAATCTGACCTGAGATCTGCTGCAGGCTCGCATTGCCAAGCGCGACAGGAAGATGGTGGACTTTGACAGCGCGCGGCATCACTTCAGCTCCTTACAGAAAGGGAAGAAGAAGGATGAGGCCAAGATTGCCAAGGTAACCACCTGTGTGTGTGTGTGTGTGTGGATAATGAGATGTTAAAGTCTACAGGACCAGTTCTGGACTCAAGGTGGTCCGAGTTACACGCACAGACCCTTTAAAGTTGGAGCTAATGAAGCGTATCTAACTGCTAAATGCTAACTAACATCTTTGTGTGTTGGGTTGTTTGCTTTCCTTCCCTCCTCCTCCTGCATGGTGTGTGTTGGGTAGCAAGCGGCTCTGTTGGAGATGGCGGCTCCCAGCTGGGCTCAGGGTTTGATATCAGCCCACCAGGTGGCTCAGACTAACCTCTCCTTCAACCAGGTGAAACTCTGGTTCATCCCCCCGTGTGACGTGTGTGTGTGACAAAGCCTAGAAAAGAGTCACTGATGGATTCGTTTGAAGCGTCTTCTTCTCTGTGATCGTGTGCTTCGCTGTAATTTGACCCCAAATCCAAACTGTCTTTGTGCCGTAGAAGAAGAAGAAGTTTGACTCACGTAGTTATGAAACCCTGTAGCGTTTGTCTGCATGTCATAGAAACACTAAGAGGCACGACGGACACACAGTCGTGGTATTAATCTGTGCGTGTGTGTGTGTGTGTGTGTGTGTGTGTGTGTGCAGGCCGAGGAGGAGCTGGGTCGCGCTCAGAAGATTTTCGAGGAGCTGAACGTGGAGTTACAAGATGAGCTTCCATCACTGTGGGACAAGTGAGACTTTTCTTCTGCTTCTTCTACAAAGGCTTTCATGACGACTCGGGTCACATGTTTAAACTGTGTGTGTGTGTGTGTGTGTGTGTGTCTGTAGTCGTGTTGGCGTCTATGTTAACACATTCCAGGGCCTGGCAGGTCATCAGGAGAAGTTCCACGGGGAAATGAGCAAGGTGAGCTGACGTGTTGCTGTGTGATGGATAGATGATCAATAGACGTACTGGTGGATGATCAATAGACGTACTGATGGATGATCAGCAGACTTATTGGTAGATGATCAGCAGACGTACTGATTGTTATCCGCTCCGTCTCCTCAGCTCAGCCAGAACCTGAACGACATCATGACCAAACTGGAGGAGCAGCGGGAGCTGAAGTAAGTGAAGCTTCCAGTCTCTTTAGAGGTCCACCCGGTGTGGAGCAATGTCAATAATGTCCTCACACGCCCCCCACTGCAGAAAAGATGCTTCTGCAGCAGCAAAGACAGGCGAAGGATCCAGGAGGTAAAACGGAGCACGAAGTGTTTTCATCTTCTCAAGACTAACGCGCGTTTGTTTGAGTGGAATGTGACCTGCTAACCAGCTGCAGCAAGTAAACGACTAACTACCACACTACACGTTCTACCACCTGGGCTTTAATGTAAAGGGGGGAAATAACAGATGAAATGTCCCTCTGAGGTTATGATGGTGATTCAGCTTCCCTCTAAATGACATTCACCTGAGTCGCTGTGTGCAGTTAGAGAGAGCAGGACGTCTCCTGCCTGGACGTCCTCACGGTCCAGCTCCTCTTAGAAGCTCAGCAGAAAGATCTCACCAGGTCCTGCAGCTTCTCAGCTCAGTGACTTCCACCTGCCGCTCACACTTCCTTCCTGCTTCCTGCTTCGCCCGCGACCTCCTGAAGGCGTGGTCATGGTCATGTGACACCTGCACTCACCTGTTGCGCAGCAGACGTTTGATTAAAGTGTTTGTCGCCCTCGCGTGGACGGATGTGAGAGCTGCACGTGTGAGGAGTGTCGGTCGATGCTCCGTCTCCTCCTCCTCCTCCTCCTCCTCCTCCTCCTCCTCCCTTGTCTGACTCCGGCGTCTCTTCCCTTTCTCCCAGTGAGGGACCCAACCACAGTGAATCAGCCAGCTCTGCACCAAAGGTAAACCTCCACACGTGGCCTCGTCCACATGAGCGGACTGATGGACCATCGGCTAACACGCTGCAGTGTACTAATGTGTCTCTGCCTCTGCACGCGTGCACGTGTGTGCTGTGCGGTCGGGTTTCACCCCTGCTGGCGGCGCAGAGGCCCGGTCCTCCTCCCAGCCGGCCTGCGGCCCGCCCGGCGCCGTCCCCGGACCTGAGGCAGCAGCGGGCGGACTCGGCGGAGGACGAGGAGCCCGACGCCGACGCAGACTCGGCGGTCACCGCGGCAACCGGCCCAGCGACGACGCAGCAGGTCAGGCTGGTTGTTGTGCCGCCACGTAGAGACGCGCTCAGATAGCCGACCCCCCTGACCCCTAGTGCGCGTGTGTGTGTGTGTGTGTGTGTGCGTGTGAGGCAGCGTGCGCCCTGGTCAGAGGTCAACCTGCTCGATTGGGATGTGGAGGTTTTACAGCCCGCCACATCGCCCGCTCCCAAGGTGGGTGTGCTAAAGGTCAAAGGTGGGCGGAGCTGAAGGGTGGAACACGTGTGTTCACATACGAATCATTTACAAGTTTAAATGAACCTCGGAGTCCAACCTGCTCCCGTGAGGTCAGAGGTCAGTCATGTGACACAGTTTCTGTGTGCATGGCCGCGCTGCTGATCTGAGATCTGCAGCCCGTTTCACATCATTTGATGTCGCTGCAGAAGGTTGTCAGGTCCATTTAAAACTGTGAGGCTTAATGTTTGAGGACTTTGGTCTCACTGGCTGTCCTGTCTCTGCCCCCCAACCCACGGAAGGCGCCATCATGGGACCCGTGGGTAAGTTCCTGTGCTCTGGTGGACTCTTCCATTCTCAAGTAGAGCACGAGAAGAAATAACAGCATCTTTTTCATCTGAAACCTCCTTCCTTACCTGTACGATGCTCCTCCCACCTTCCCACCCGCCTCCCTTCCTCCGCCCACCCGCCGCAACGCTCCACAACCACCTCCCCACCCCCCCCCCTCCGACCTGTCGTAGCGAGAACAGACCACCGCAGAGCACGAAGACCAGCGACACCTAGAGGAGGTCCGAGGTGGCTGGGGGGGCGGGGGCCATGCCGCCCCGTCCAGCAGCGAGCCCGGCTGGGGGGCGGACGGGGCCCAGGTGGGAGGTGACTGGGGGGACGCAGGAGAGGCGCAGGTAGGGTAGGAGGAAGGGGGGACCTGGACTTTGAGGATCCGTAGTGAGCGTCTCCCCCCCCCCCCCCCCCCACGTCCTGACCTCCTGTTCCAGCTGAACCTCCTGTGCTTGTTTCCTGCAGAATGCGGTGACCAACGGCTCAGACGGAGATCTGCCTCCAGGATTCCTCTACAAGGTGGCCCCCCCGCTCCCCCCCCGCTCCCCCCCCCCGTGCACGTTGTGGTGAGCTCTCCGTGTCCCCGGCTCACCTGTGGCTCCGCTGTGTGTGTGTGCGTCAGGTGAAAGCGGTCCACGAGTACGCCGCCACCGACGGAGACGAGCTGGAGCTGAAGATCGGAGACGACGTGCTGGTCCTGGCCTTCGACAACCCGGATGAGCAGGTGTCCCCCCCCGGACCCCCCCCCCTCACACGCACATTGGTGAGGTGTGTGTGTGTAAACGTTGATCTGAACGCGTCTCCCCGCAGGATGACGGCTGGCTGCTCGGCGTGCTGGAGGCCCACTGGCTGCAGAACAAAGACACTTCAGCCAAAGGCGTCTTCCCCGAGAACTTCACTCAGAAGGTTTAACGGTTCATGCCGCAGATAGAAGCCCCCCCAGGAGGAAGCGTCTCATCTCAGTGTCATCACACGGCCCCGCTGAAAGGTGGTAAACGTGGTGCTACGTCGGTTGTCGTCGTGTGCACGCTGAGCCGAGTGAACGTCTGCATGGAGCTTTGCTCGAGTCGGACCGGAGGAGAGACGCTCCCCGCCGAAGGGGACACCAGCTTCTATCTGACTGGACTTTGACTTCATTCTCGTGCACACTTGCTTTTATTTGGGTTTTGAGTCCTCTTCTCATTGCTGAATGCTGTTCCACTCCAATCAGACATTGAACGCATCACTGCTGTGCACACACGCTGCAGAAGAGACTCCGTTCACCAGCTGAATCCACGCAAACCCTGTTTTTATATTGTGTGGAGTTGTTAACCAGGTGATAACTAATGCTGACCTGTCGGCGTCATTAAAGATGAACCATGAACTACAACTCTTTTCTCTCTGAGTTCTTCTTCCTGCCAGCCGCCGATGTCTGAGAAGGCGAAGCCTGTTCATGTCATTTCATCTGATTCATCATACATTCATCCGTACACTTTAAGAGATAACGTGCAGATAGTCAAAGACGTCACACCAGTGATTGCAGAAGATAAACACGAACATATTTAATTAATGTCTCACAGATAAAAGCTTTTCTTTTCAGAGAATAGCATTTCTTTTTTCTTTTTTTTATTTCTTTTTTGTGACTTGCATGAAGTAAACAACAACACATCCAGAGACTGAAACGGTCTGAGCGGCACGTGAAGAGACACGCGCTGCGAGGGAGTCCGTTTGCTGCAGGAAGCGACACATCAGTTCCTCTAAAATCCTCTTTTTTTAAATCGTTGGGCTTTCTGTCCAAAAACCAGAACCAAACAGGGTGACCAGACTTCCCCCGACGAGAGGAACGTATTAAGCAAGCTCGCTTCAGGCAGTATAAACCCTCTGTGGCTCGGTGATGCATTCAGGGTCAGTCACACCGTGCAGGTGATGCATTCAGGGTCAGTCACACCGTGCAGGTGATGCATTCAGGGTCAGTCACACCGTGCAGGTGATGCATTCAGGGTCAGTCACACCGTGCAGGTGATGCATTCAGGGTCAGTCACACCGTGCAGGTGATGCATTCAGGGTCAGTCACACCGTGCAGGTGATCCATTTAGGGTCAATCACTCGGTGCAGGAGGTGCATTCAGGGTCATCTGTCATTTTAGGACTCAGAAAGTCCCTGAACGCATCATATCTGGACCACAAATTAGTCGCATAAATCCTTCCTAACTCATAAGTTGATTTTTATTCTTTATCTTTCAGGGAATTTCAAACTTTTTCATCGTGAAAATCCTCATCAGAGAGAGGAGGCAGAAGGCAGGAGAGGTGTCTCAGTCAGGGGTCAGAGGTCAGAGGAGTTAATGGTTTCACTGGGGCAGAGCTTTGAGGATGGCGTTGACCTCCTCAGCCACGGCGGTCAGGGCAAACTCAAACTGATCCTGGAAACAAGGAGGGCATCGTCATCCAGCAGCCGTAGTGTCAAAGGTCAAAGGCCATGGAGGTCATTGAGGGCCTCGGAGGGACTGACCTTGGTGCGGACCATCCCGGGCCTCTGGTCCCGGACGTGCTCCAGCGTCGCGGCGATGTCGATCTCTTTCACACCTGCAGGGCGACAGGTAACATCCATAAAAACTACGGAGGGAAGATCAATAACCTTTATTGACTCTACGCGGCGTACGCGTCACCTTTAGCCATTCGGTTGAGGACCATGTCAATCAGGATGTAAGTCCCCGTCCGGCCTGTGCCGTTGCTACGGAAACAGAGCGAACTTGAATAAACAAAAGAAGATGCGGACTTGATGATTCAGAGGATTATTACTTGATGTGAGCGACGGTTTACCTGCAGTGCACGATGATGGGACACGAGCGTCCTCTGTAGCACTTGTTCACCTTCCTGGAGAGAAGAGACAAGAACACTCAGTGTCCCTCAGAGGCCTCATGGCGTCACACCGGGGGAGTAAAACACGTGTAATCGAGCAGTAAGTAACAGTGTAGGAGACAGATAGATGGGGCACGATGGATGGACGGGGGGGTAAATGGGAGGGGGGGGGGGGTAGTTGGCGATCGACATCCTGCTGCAGCCACATCAGTCCATGATCATTTTTGTGACTATGCAACTGGAGCCAGACTACTAGTTGCAAACCACAAGAATGACACAGACAGATATGTTGAAAATAAAAGCGAGGACCCCCATTGCCTCCATCTCACCGGGGGGGGGGGCTAACAGCACAGTCTCCACTGCATCAATACACATCCTTTCACACCACCGGTTCTATGACGCATTCGTGCTTTTCGTTGGTGGGGGGGCGTAGTACCTGCGGAAGTCCAGCAGGGGGCGCGTGGAGGGGGGGATGCCCTGAGCCGGCCAGCTCAGGAAGTGGAACTGAGTCAGCGTCCTGGTCTCCTGCGTCATCACGTTCTTCAGGTAGAAGCTCCGCACCAGGAAGTCGTTGCACCAGATGTGCTCCGAGACCAGGTTCACCTGGGGGGGGGGGCAGACGATGGAGCGCACGTGACCCTCCTCTCTCTTTCCCCCTTTGTAACCCCCCCTGTATGTCGCCCCCCCCTCACCTCGTAAATGTGGTAAAGGGACGAGCCCTCGTCGGGCCCGTAGCGGTCACACTGCTTCTCTCCGTCCTTCACCCACGCCGTCAGCATCACGATCACCGTGCAGCCGTTCTCCCAAACCATCTACAGCACAGATCCTCGTTATTCAGGGATTTTAATCGGGACACGCCCACAACGCCACCAACGTACTGGGGGGGGCGGGACTTTAGCATGACTACATCCTATGAGAACGTCTTGACTGATGACTGATGGAAATGATTCCTGTGAACCGACCTGCCAGAAGTCAGAGATGGTGTGGGACAGGGGGCCCTGGGTGGCGATGTAGGCCGGCATCCGGGGGTCGTGCTCAATCTGAAGGGTGAAAGGTTAGAGAGGGGCAAAGGTCACTGGGGAGGCCACAGCGCTGATGTTTTAGTGATAACTCACTACATCAGTATTACCTGAGTACTGCAGCCTCAGTTAGTGCTAAACACGGTGGTTGCCATGGCAACCACCAGCGTGACGTACTCACTATGGTGCTGGTCATTGACGTAGTCGGAGCGCGAAGGGTTGATCTCCGGCCTCAGCTTCACCCTGGCGTGGTCATCTGAGGGGACAGCACGGGACATTTAGAACCCTCCACACCCCACCTGCGTCCTCACTAATACCCACATGCCCCGGGCCTCACAGCCACACTCACAGGGCACGGAGGCGGGGCAGCGGTTCTTCTTGGCGTTGGCGTCGCTCTGAGCCAATGACACGGCGCTGGGCTCGGCCTGGTAGGAGCACAGCGCCTCCCACTCCTTCATCAGGCGGTCCTTGTTCCTCAGGTGGTCCTCCATGTAGGCCTGAGGGACCACTTGACATCTCAGAACATGCTGCTCCCGGTGACATCACACACGTTAGCATCAGGGACATGCGGTACCGACCAGTATCATGTGACCCGTGGAGATGTCCATGTTGGCCTGGGCCGGCTCCTCGCACCACGACGGCGTGCTGCTGTGCGAGCTCGGGCTGCGCTGGGCTCCGTCGCTGAACTGGGACGACACGCTGCTCACCCTGGAGTCGGCCCCGCCGCCCCCCGCTGCTCCACCCGCGACGCCGGCACCTCCTCCCTTTGCCCCCCCGGCTCCCCCGCTCGCTCCGCCCACGGCGCCGAGGGCGGCGGCTTCCAGACGCCCGAAGGCCCCTTTGGAGGCTGTGTGCTGGCGACACAGGTCCTGGTGGTATTTACACATTTATACAGACGTCTCACTGACTTTGTTGCCTCTCTCTGGTGATCTGACTGCAGCCCCCCTCACCTGGTACTCCTGGTGGGTGAAGCCCCCCCCCTCGGGTCCCAGGCCCAGCGTCTTGGCCGCCAGCCGGTGGGCGTGGTGACGCAGGCAGGCGATGGTCATGGCCCCCACCAGGACGCTGCCCATGCAGGCCATGGCCACCAGGGCGGCGAACACCCAGCTGGAGCGCCTGGGCTCGATCCGCGTTGCCAGGGGCAGCGACTTCCCATCATGCCCCTGGGGCGGGAGGGGCAGAAAGGGAAAGACATTTTATTCATTTGTTTATGGAGCTGCAGACGTCCGTGGAGGAACTTTGAAGGAACATCACACGTTCGTAGATTAGACTCATTAGAATGCATTTTATGTGTAACCCGTGGTTCATTTTGATCATCCCCATAACTACATCTGCGGCCTTTCTTCTTCTTCTCTGGAAACCTTTCGGGTATCAAACCCCGTCACCCACCTCTCCTACACCGCTCTGCTGCACCGTCAGGCCCGTCTCGGACTCCGGGAAGTTCTTCTCGGCTCCTGCAGAAACAAAAAGAACCTGCTGCCTCAGACCTGCAGTAGTACAGTTGGTAGTACTCAGAGTATTAGTTGTCGCACCCGAAATGTGACGTACCGGTCGTCAGGTTCTTGGAGTCGGGTCTGATCCTGAAGGTGGCGGAAGGTCCGACAGCGCTGAAGACAAAACCCAAAGATCCACACGTACGTTCCACTAATTATTTATATTCTTTCCTCCCAGAGGGAAACATTGTAGTCTCTATAACTTGACTGAGCAGGAAGGAGGAGGAGCAAAATCCAGCAGGAAGCTCCACCTAATACCCCTAAAGAGGTCACATGACCACTATCCAGATGTTCATGGTCCTACTGGAGGTTGATCTGGGAGTGACCTAAAGAGGTCACATGACCAGGATCCAGATGTTCATGGTCCTACCGGAGGTTGATCTGGGAGTGACCTATAGAGGTCACATGACCAGGATCCATAGTCGAGGGAGAGGCTAACACAAAATGCACAGACACACACAGACCTGTGATTGGTGACGATGTTCAAAGGCGGAGCCTCCGGGGCGGCCATCTTGAACGCCATTGAACCCTCTGTGACCTGATGAAAATAAATAAATATGTATTTCGTCACCTCATTCTTTTTACAGTAATAGTTACTTTAGTATGTAAGTATTGTCAGGAATATGTCTTTGCAACAAACACGCTCACCTTTTTTCTTGTGGCAGCATTGTTGTCATATTTATCTGAAAGGAAAACATGAACATGGCAGACAAAATGTGTCAGGACACAATGTTCAACCCTCCGCCAGTTTCCTGGCATCCACCTCAATATCAGAGGACACATTTCACATGTAGGAAAGAAGATTCAACTAAAAGACATCTAAGCGCAGATCTGCGTCTCTCAGACGAGGTCAAGCTGAACAGAGGAGGGATCACCTCCTCATAGTAAAGAGCAGTGAAAATAAAGATTAGAATTAACAGTTAAACTTGTTTTTGTGTTGGCATACGTATTCTGTCTCCATACTGTCTCGGGTTCAAACTGCACCATATTTTCAATAAATAAATTTGAGAATGTTCCTCGATTTGGGTCGTGGCTTGTCATTGAGGGGTGACGGTGGGTCCCGGAGCCAGACCAGTTGAGAACCACTGCTTTAGAGTATATTCCTCTAGGGAGGCCGTGATTCTGTGTATCTGAACCTCTGTGTGTCTGTCTCGGAGTCTCTGTGAGTCTTTATGTATCTAAGTCTGTCTTTCTGAGTCTCTGAGTCTCATTTCACAACCAGCAGAGTGGAAGTTGAGCTGACTTTGACCTTGTTGATGTGACGGGCAGCAGACCCACCTGTGGCCTGTTTCAGGGTGTAGGAGCTCTCCAGCTGCTTCTGCTGGGGGGACTGGTCCTGCATGTCCTTTAGGCTCTTGAGGTCCTGCATGTCCTTCAGGTCCTTCAGGTCCTGCATGTCCTTCAGATCCTTCAAGTACTTCAGGTCCTCCGGGTCCTTCAGGTCCTCCGGGTCCAGGCCGTACTGGTCGAGCAGCAGAGAGAGCCTCTGCAGGGAGCGCTCTGAAAGCACAGTGTTTACTGGAACTAAACATACTCCTTCATCTCCTCCACCTCCAGAGGCTCCTTACTCCACCACCTGAGATCAGAGTTCATGTCCAACGCGTGCTGGAAGACGTTTTCAGATGTTTATATACTTCCACGTAGAAATGCAAAGACCTGCATCCACAATAATGATCAAATTTATCAATATATCAATGCGTACTTACATTGGCAGCTGGTAAATATGTGACAAATCTTGAGCAATTGGTCAAATTAAATTAATACAATTTTACATTTAGCTGGGTAACTTGGGCATTTATTCATGATCAAATAATTCATTAATTAATTGATTAATAACCTGACTCTGCAAAGCAATTCAACACTAATAATATCACATTTAAAATATTAAATATATGTTACACGTATATATTTTACACATATATGCCCCCATGGGCTCACAACCTGTGGGGGAAACCGATGGGGTCGGGTGCGCTGCTACAAGGGTGTAGTGACAGTGGGGGGTCTAGACGGAACAGACCTGGGCGGAAGATGCTGGCTCTGGGGACGTGGACCGTCACCTCTCTGGGGGGGAAGGAGCCGGAGCTTGTGCGAGAGGTGGAGCGTTACCAGTTGGATCTGGTGGGGTTAACCTCTACGCACTCCTGGATAGGGGATGGACTCCGGAGTGGCCCATGGTGTGAGGCGCCAGGCAGGTGTGGGGATACTCATAAGTCCCCGGCTGAGTGCTGCTACATTGGAGTTTACCCCGGTGGACAAAAGGGTCGCCTCCCTACACCTTCGGGTGGTGGGGGGGGGAACTCTGACTGGTGTCTGTGCGTATGCACCAAACAGCAGCTCGGAGTATTTAGCCTTTTTTGGAGACCCTGAATGGAGTCCTGCATGGGCCTCCCTGATCTGAACCCGAGTGGTTGTTTGTTACTGGACTTCTGTGCCAGTCACGGATTGTCCATAACAAACACACTGTTCGAACATAAGGATGTTCATAAGTGTACGTGGTACCAGAGCACCCTAGGCCAAAGATCAATGATCGATTTTGTAATCGTTTTTGTAATCTGAGGCCGCATGTTCTGGACACTCGGGTGAAGAGAGGGGCAGAGCTGTCAACTGATCACCATCTGGTGGTGAGCTGGGTCAGAGGATGGGGAAAGACTCGGGACAGACCCGGTGAACCCAAGCGTGTAGTGAGGGTGAACTGGGAACGTCTGGAGGAGTCGTTGGTCCAAAGGATTTTCAACTCACACCTCCGGCGGAGCTTCTCTCACATTCCTGTGGAGGTCAATCTTCGTTCCTACCCTCACCTGTGGTCATGAAGGATGGGTCATGACCGAAAGAACTAGGTCACGGGTACAAGCGGCCGAAATGGGTTTCCTCAGCAGAGTGGCTGGCGTCTCCCTTAGGGATAGGGTGAGAAGCTCACCCATTCGAGAGGAGCTCGGAGTAGAGCCGCTGCTCCTTTGCTTTGAAAGGAGCCAGTTGAGGTGGTTTGGGCATCTGGTGAGGATGCCCCCTGGGAGCCTCCCTTGGGAGGTGTTCCAGGCACGGCCACCTGGGAAGAGGCCCCGGGGAAGACCCAGGACTAGGTGGAGAGACTATATCTCTGCACTGGCATGGGAACGCCTTGGGATCCCCCAGTCAGAGCTGGTAGATGTGGCTCGGGAAAGGGAAGTTTGGGGTCCCCTGCTGGAGCGACCCGACCCCGGATAAGATGGAAGGATGGATGGATGTTACACATTTATTTTGTCTGCATTTATTTTCTCACCATCCAGTCCTGACAGATCGCCGTACGCCTGCTGCTCCTTCCTCTCCTGCTGCTCCTGCTTGCTGCGCTGAGCCTCCTGGGAAACGTAGTCCTCGCCGTAGTCCAGCGGGAAGTCGAGCTCTGGGAAGAAGGAGGAGGACAGCGAAGAGGGGAATCTTGCAGCTGGCGTTACCCCCCCTCTGTGGCGGGAGATGGACTGCACAGGAGAGGAAGAGGAGGAGGAGGAGGAGGAGGAGGAGGAAGGGGAAGTGAGGTAAAAAGAGACCAAGTCCCGGAGAAGCTGCCGGTCTCGGTCCAGAGGGTTTCCTTGGGATCCGGAGCGAGAGGAGGCTGGATCTTCATCCAGAGAGTTGAGGGAGCGCTCCTCTTCCTCCTGGAAGCCGTACTGCAACGACACGCAGGGAGCAGAGTGACTCCTCAGACACGCAGGTAGCGTCTGAATCAGCGCCTGCCGGTTTATTGCATTTAAGTTTAAAACCGTAGCACTCGTCCCCCCACCTGGTGCAAGGCGGAAGGGTCCAGCGGGGGCTTCTGCATGTGAACGGAGGACCGGGAGGGGTCGAGCATCATGTAGTCCGCGTACTGCTGCATCCTCCCGAGGTCAGCCGGGTCCTCGGGGCCCCGAGGCCTCCGCTGACTGGGGCCCGACATCCGGGGAAACACCACCTTCAGCTCGTCACGAAGGCGTGGCTGCAGCGCCCGATGCTGGAGGTGCTCCTCCTGGAGTCCGGCGGCGGGAACGCGGCTCAGCTCTCGGTCGATGGCGGCCTGCGTGACGCCGTCCTTCCAGGTCAGACCTGAGCGGCGACACAGAGGTCACGTGTGACCGACCCTCAACCCCGCCCCCCCCACCCCACCCCGCCCAAGGAGACTCACCTCGCACCATCAGGGCTCTGAGCACCTCCTGCAGGTTGTGCAGGACGGGGACGGGGACCTGGTACTGGACGGACTCCTGGTGAGGAGGCCGGCACCGCCCGAACAAACCGTCTGCACAGGGAGAGCGAGGAGGAGGTTAATCAATAGTATTAGTAAGTATTAGTACTACTGGTACTACCAAACACACAAACACAATTATCACTTTACTCAAACAAAACACAGCTGATGTCACTGAGAGCAAAGCAGGAAAAACACACAAATTGTGTACAAATATGCAAGTACACATAAATTGCATGTATATACTTGAGTACATACTTGTGTACACACACACACACACACACATTTGTACACACATGGTGAAGCAGTGTGTGTGTGTGTAGGGGGGGCGGCGTGGTGAGTCATCACCTTTGTCTCCCTCCGTCTCTCTCACTCACACACACACAGGAGACACACGGTCGTTAGGCCAGTGATGTCACTGTTGTCATAGCGACGACCAGGAGGCTCCGTCATTGGCTGACGGAGGCTGACGGAGGGAGACCTTGTTTACGTTGCACTCTTGCTCTCTTTCTCCACGATTCAGGCTCTTCCCTCCTCACACTCTGACGACAACTCACACACACACACACACACACACACACACACCGACACACACCGACACGCACGCACACACACACACACACACACTCACACACACACACACCGACACGCACGCACACACACACACACCGACACACTCACACACACCGACACACATACACCGACACATGTCAACTGCTCTGAAATGTCTTTTGATTGAATAGATTACAGATGTTTAAAGGGACACGAGTGTGGAATGTGTTTATTTTACTCAAATGTTCCACATACAACACACAATCATTTACAGTAGTACTTTGTGTACTACTGTAAATGACAGTAGTACACAAAGTTCTACTGTAAATGATTGTGGTGGTTCGGCTGCAGAGTGGGGGAGGGGCTCGGGGAACGGTGCCAGGTGGAGGTGCAGTTGTTTCAATTGTTTTATAAGCAGTAGTGACGATTCGGAGAGGGAGGACAAGTGAGACGAGGAGGCGAGGAGGACAAGTGAGACGAGGAGGACAAGTGAGACGGCGAGATTTAAACGTACTGCGGCCATAAAAATCTAAACAAAACCAGCCGATTGTGTACAATTTGTTCCTGTGGACCCCAACAAACGTTACACTGGTACAAGAACATTTCAACCATAAGGACACAAACTCAGAAGAACAAGAAACAAGAAGGTACAATTTCATCAAATAAGCCAATTTACAATTTGCTATAGATAAGAACCATTATAAGTCCAATGTAAGTGCTGCAGTTAGTTAGTGTGTTAGTGGAGGTAGAGTGTGAAGAGGTGTGTCTTTAGTCTGAAGATGTGAAGGCTCTCTGTGGTCCTGATGGCTTCAGAGAACTCCTTCCACCATTTAGGAGCAGGACAGCAAAGAGTGGAGATCTAGTCGAGTGTTTTGCTCTCAGTGAGGAGGAACAAGCAGTTTATCACATGCAGAGCGGAGAGGTCAGAGGTCGGGATGTCGGGTTGGACCAGGTCCTTGATGTAAACTGGACCCCATCCATTCACAGCCTGGTACGTGAGCACCATGTTTAGAACTGGATGAGCCACCGGTACCAGTGAAGAGAGCGGAGGAGTGGAGGAGTGAGGGAGAACTTAGGAAGGTTAAAGACCAGTGGAGCTGCTGCATTCTGGATGAGCTGCAGAGGTGGAACGGAGGTAGCAGGAGACCTGCAGGAGACAGTTACAGTAGTCCAGGAGGGAGACGACAAGAGCCTGAACCGGAGAGTCTTTTCCTGGAAAGAGAAGTAGTTCAGTCTGTCGGGGTTGATTTTCAGATGGTGGGCGGATCCACTGAGAGATGTCAGTCAGACAGGCAGAGATCCGAGTGAGGGAAGGAGAGAATTAGTTGGGTGCCATCGCCATCGCTGTGGTAAGAGAAGCCATGCGAGCGAATGACAGCGCTGAGAGAGTTGGTGTAGAGCGAGAAGAGGAGGGAACCCAGGACGGAACCCTGAGGAACTCCAGTAGTAAGAGGACAAGAGTTCCAACACAGATCCTCAAGGTAGGACGAGAGAAGGGAGAGAGCAGAGCCTGAGACACCAAGTTCCTGAAGGGAGGAAATAAGGATCTTGTGGTTAACGTGTGTCAAATGCAGCAGAGAGGTCCAGAAGGACGAGGACAGAGGACAGAGAGGAGCTCTAGCAGTGTGGAGCTGCTCTGAGACAGCAAGGAGAGCAGTCTCTGTGGAACGGCCTTGAAGCCTGACTGGTGGGGGTCAGGGAGGTTGTTATGGTGGAGATAGGAGGAGAGTTGGTTAAAGATCACACGTTCAAGGGTTTTGGACAAAAAGGGAAGAAGAGAGACCGTCTGTAGTTGTTTTCTTCAGGAGGGTTGAGGGTAGGTTTCTTCAGGAGAGGGTTAACTCTTCTCCTTCAGAGAATTGGGAAAACAGCCCGATGACAGAGCGTTGTTGATGAGACGGGTGAGGAACGGAAGAAGGTCAGGAGCGATAGATTGTAGAAGATGTGATGGAATGGGGTCAAGAGGGCAGGTGGTGGACGGGCAGAGGTTACTAGGGTAAGAACTTGGTTAGGAGACAGGGGGGTGAAGGAGGAAAGTGAGGGCAAAAGAGGTGAAGCCAGTGGGACACGAGTAGTAGGAGGTGGGTTTGAGAAGGAGGAGCGTATGTCAGCTATTTTCTTGGTAAAGTAGTTGACAAAGTCTCCCGGAAGAAGGGTGGAGGGGGGAGGAGGACTAGGGGTTCGAGGAGGTTGGAGAAGATTGAAAAGAGTTTTTTGGGGTTAGAAAATGAAGATTGGATTCTGGATTGGTAGAAAGAGCTTTTAGCAGCAGAGTTAAAAGCAGAAAAAGAGGAGAGAAGAGATTGAAATTTGAGCAAGTCGTCAGGTCGTTCCCTTCATGTTACATCATGAAGGTAGAAACATACCAGCATCAATAATTCACCAGGCTGAGACGCACAGGTGCTCACACAGGTGCACGTGCACGCTCCTGTTATGACATCCCGCCCACGTTCAGAGGAAGCTGGACGCCCTGTGAGGGATTACATGGCGCCCCGTAGCCGTGACGACGGACAATCTGCTGTCTGCGTGATGTGAGGCTCCCTCAGGCTCCCTGAGGATCGATTTAATAAGCCCGTCACGCTGCATTCAGGATATCGTGAATAAGAGCTTCCTATGGGGGGAAGAAAGTGTCTGTCAGCCTCCCAGAGGAGGGTATCTGGGAAGCTTTCATTTGGCCTCATGAATGTGTGGAGAGAGATGTGTGTGTGGGTTTACAATAAACGCAAGAGATGTATTTAACTAAATGGATTTCTCCTCCCTTCTTCTGATTCTGACCTGGAGGACCTGACGGAAGATCCAAAAGTTTTCTTATTCAGATGAACTGAACCTTTAAAGCACTGCAGCTGTCAAAGGATCGATCAGTGAACGTGTCTCCTCGCACACAGCAGCGCTGCAGCTGTGAGGATCAATTTCATCACTCTGTGAGGTAATCGATCAGTCAATCAGTCACATGACAAGTGAAACTCACCATCGGTGCACAGCTGGTCTCTGGGACAGAGCTTCTTCTCAAACAAACAACCTGGAGACACAGACAGCAAACAAGCACAAGTTACACCTTTTCCACCTGAAAGCAGCAATTTATCATCAAATATCATTATTATAATGTGTCATTGTGTTTTAAGGCTTTGGCCCTTTTCAACAGAGCGGAAACAAACTTTACAATCACATTCAAACAAAGTTCCTGACGGGACGGGAAAGAGACACGAAGGGTCAGGATGAGCATCGCCATGACGACGCAGAGGACTGTGCAGCCATCAGAGGGGGAGAGCTCCTCCACCCATCACTCCCTCCCGTCCTCCACCCATCGCTCCCTCCCGTCCTCCACCCATCGCTCCCTCCCTGTCATCCACCCATCGCTCCCTCCCTGTCCTCCACCCATCGCTCCCTCCCTGTCCTCCACCAATCGCTCCCTCCCTGTCCTCCACCCATCGCTCCCTCCCTGTCCTCCACCCATCACTCCCTCCCTGTCCTCCTTCCTCCCTGTCCTCCAACCATCACTCCCTCCCTGTCCTCCTTCCTCCCTGTCCTCCAACCATCAATCCCTCCCTGTCCTCCACCCATCACTCCCCCCTGTCCTCCACCCATGTCCACCCATCGCTCCCTCCCTGTCCTCCACCCATTGCTCCCTCCCTGCCTTCCACCCATCGCTCCCTCCCTGTCCACAACCCATCACTCCCCCCCTGCCCTCCCTCCTCCCTGTCCTCCACCCATCACTCCCTCCCTGTCCTCCACCATCACTCCCCTCCTGCCCTCCCTCCTCCCTGTCCTCCACCCATCACTCCCTCCCTGTCCTCCACCCATGTCCACCCATCGCTCCCTCCCTGTCCTCCACCCATTGCTCCCTCCCTGTCTTCCACCCATCGCTCCCTCCCTGTCCTCCACCCATTGCTCCCTCCCTGTCTTCCACCCATCGCTCCCTCCCTGTCCACAACCCATCGCTCCCTCCCTGTCCTCCACCATCACTCCCCCCTGCCCTCCCTCCTCCCTGTCCTCCACCCATCACTCCCTCCCTGTCCTCCACCCATGTCCACCCATCGCCCCCTCCCTGTCCTCCCCCCATCACTCCCTCCCTGTCCTCCACCCATGTCCACCCATCGCTCCTCCCTGTCCTCCACCCATCGCTCCCTCCCTGTCCTCCACCCATCGCTCCCTCCCTGTCTTCCACCCATCACTCCCTCCATGTCCTCCACCCATCACTCCCTCCCCGTCCTCCAACCATCGCGCCCTCCTGTCCTCCACCCATCGCTCCCTCCCTGTCCTCCACCCATCGCTCCCTCCCGTCCTCCACCCATCGCTCCCTCCTGTCCTCCACCCATCGCTCCCTCCTGTCCTCCACCCATCGCTCCCTCCTGTCCTCCACCCATCACTCCCTCCCATCCTCCACCCATCGCTCCCTCCTGTCCTCCACCCATCGCTCCCTCCCTGTCCTCCACCCATCGCTCCCTCCATGTCCTCCACCCATCGCTCCCTCCCTGTCACCAGCTGGTAGACGTCTGTGGTTGTTGAGCGTTGAAGCGTTTTACACCTCGAGTCACAGAATCAGACTCAGCAATAAACTCCTCTTTGGTTCATCACACAGGGAGCAGATCTTTAAATCTCTTTCTCCTCAAACTAATGTGAGAGCTTCAGCTTGTTTCCTGTTTCCATCTGAGCAGATGTTCCTCTCATCCTTCTCATCACTTCATCTTCAGGGACTCAAATACATCCGTCTTATCTGCAGTAGCATGAGCGTGACCTCTTGCGTTCTAATGATCTTCTAGTAGATGGATGGGGTCCATAATAATCTTTAGAAAGCAGTAAATAAATAAACAGTGAAAGTAGAAGAGGGGCTGAATCATGAAGGTCAGCGGATGACTCACCGGCGCTTTAGAGTAGAAAGCAGAAAACACATCTGGCTTAAAATGAGTTTTACGTACTGAAGATGACTCATCAGCTCCCTCCCACCATCATCATCATCATCATCATCGGCATCTCTGCTGTTATCATCCATTCGCATAACGCCGCTGTGACAGGCAGCCTCCGGCCTGCAGGCTGACGGAGGAGGTGGGGGGAGTCAGGCCTCAAGGAGCACCATCACACCTGGGTGGTGCGGCGGAGGGGCAGCGGGGGCAGCAGGGTGAGGAATCAGCTCAGTGGACCTACACTTCATCCAGACTCCACTAATCAGACAGGAACCTTCTGAATCTCACATACAAATGTGCACTAAATGTGGAAGTAGATCCAACAAGAGCAACGTTTCCTTTTCTTTGATTAAAACTGTTTTAGGAAATATTACGCTTTTATTCAAGATGTAAAAAAAATAGTGCAGAAATTTGTCCTTCAGAGGGGAGAAGTTTAATAATATATTCTTTCAAAATACTGTCCTGCACCACAATATTTGATGTTAATGAAACTGGTGAAAACCCCTTTAGATCCACGTGAATGTGAATGTGAGATGAAAGCGTCTCACGTGTCGCTGTGCAGAGAGTTTATGAGTCACACCTGAGACGTCTTCTTCCTTCAGGCGAACAGGTTTATATATATATATATATACCCATATATATATATATATATATATATATATATATATATAAATAATATATATATATACATACACATGTCACAGCTTGAGACACCTGAGGATCAGGCTGATGATGGTGTTCTATGATGTTCTATAACCTGTGAGTGGTTTCCCGTGATGGTTTTTTAATGGTTTCAGTGAATCACTGAATTATTTATTTGAGGGAGTCACAGCAACAGGTTCCTCAGTAAAGATGGATTCAGCTTCTCCAGCGGGAGGAAATAACGAAGCGGATTGTTTTCCTGGTCTCAGAATTAGGATTATTCATGCGTTACATTCTAACCACCTTGCATCTTCTATGATGTCTGGGGACACACTATACGTTTACAAGAGTCCTATTGTTGTTGTTGTTGTTGTCTGCAGGTTGTTTTGCTGTTGCGAGTGTGAATCCCGCACATTTCCTTCACTTTATCAGGTGAAACAGAAGCATCGCTGCAGCAGATGACTTTGTCTCCTGCATGAAATAAAAGCAGAGCCTCCTGCTGCGCGTGCCCGTGTTGTTGTTGTTGTTGTTGTCGTCGTCGCAGGCTGAACTACACAACGATTAGACGCATCCGAGCGAGCCGCGGCTCTGACGCACCGCCGCGCGAGGGGAACACGTGACTCATCTTTAGATCAAACATCATAAAGCGTCCAGCTGCCGGAGAAGATCAGACAACACGAAGCGTCGCGAGCTCCCTGCGAGCCTGCAGTTACCATGGGAACCCCGAGCGGACCGCTCACCTGCCGCCAGCCCGGCACCGGGTCTTACCGTGTCGGGCGGCCGCGCACAGCCGGCAGGAGACGGTGAGGAGCAGGCAGAGAGCCGCGCAGAGCCGCGGAGACCTCATGGTGCTTCCAGCTTCTACAGGCGCTCCATCTCCGGGGAGAGGCTGCTGCTGCTGCTGCTGCTGCTGCGGGGAGGGATGGAGCGGGACTGGGGAGGGTGGAGAGGATGGAGCGGGACTGGGGAGGGTGGAGAGGATGGAGCAGGACTGGGGAGGGTGGAGCGTTAGTGGGTGAGGTGGTTGTTTGGACCACAGGAGGCGCCACACTGCAAGAAATATCTGTACTATAAAGAGCAGCTCTGTTAAAAAAAGCACGACACCGAGATCACTGAGGAACACTGAGGGACAGGATTAGTCACCAGAAAGACGATCCCGTGTCCTCATTATCGAGGTGTTATTAGATGGAGCCCTTCTGGGGCTTCAAGGGTCTAAAAGTTCCGTTTCTTGTCCGAGTGCAGCGCTTCCGTACGTCTCATATCTTTGATAAAAAGTCCGTTTGTAGACATTTACAACCACTATAAACAACTATTTGAGAACCACCTCGCTGAGCTGATGGGATTCATCCTGCCTTGTTCGTGTGCAGGTTGATAATATCAGAGCCTCGTTTACTGCTGCGGTCTGTTTCTGGACTTCTCTCAGAGGAAAGAAGGCCTCCTAAGATGGTGCTTGTGGCCTTTTATTAAAACGTTACTGAACAACAAGCTGAACATGTGCTTCCTGAAGTGATTTCACCCTGGATGATCGTCGGAGGGGGCGAGACCCTCAGCTTCGCGCTTATGTGCAGCAGGTTATTTCCTGCAGTGTGGAAGCGTTCTCTCTCTCTCTCTCCTGCATCACGCCGGCCTCGTTTGGCCCATAAGTCCGTCTCCGCCTGCCAGACGCCGACCATCTATCAGACACTTGGCAGCTGTTCCTCCCTATGAAATTAAAAGTGAAACCACAGCAGGATGGAACCTTCTACAAGGAGAAGCGGGACAGAAAAAGGAGATGACCGACAACCTTTCAAGTCTTTATTTCGGTTCATATGAAAGATGAAATGACGCCACCTTCCATGAGTTACAGTTACGAGTGCAACGTCGCCTGCAGATGTTTCTAAGAAAGTCCTTTTCAACGTGAAATAATGACACTATTCATGGCGTCTTCACGTCCCACCACATGTTGGGAGGACTTTGCGTCCATCAGGAGTCCTCGTCACGTCTCTAGTCGACCAGCAGCGAGCTCCTCACGGAGGGGAACAGCTCCAAGTAGCCCTGCAGGAGGAAGCACACAGCAGGGGATTCAGAGAACATCTGCAGGGGATGAAGGAAGAACAGATGTGTTATTGGGGGAGGAGGGGGAGGGGGGGGGGGGTTACCCTGAAGAGGGTGGTGCTCTGCAGGACGCTGGAGGTGCAGCACATCTCTCGGATGGAGTGCATGGAGAGCTGCGGCGCTCCGATGTCCACCACGGGGACGCCGAGGCGGGCGGCCAGGATGGGTCCGATGGTGCTGCCACAGGGGCTGTCGTTACGGACCATCACATCCTGCAGGGGGGGGGGGGGGGGTCAGAGGTCAAAGTAAGTCTAAAGTACCAACCTGGTATTCATCTCCTGTCTCTCACACACACACACACACTACCTGCAGCGGCACCCCCACCCTCGCGGCCACCTCCCTGACCACGGAGGCGGTGACGGCCGTCGTGGCGTAGCGCTGGCTGCTGTTGAACTTGATCACTGGGCCCTGAGGGGGCGAGAACATTGATAAGCGTTACCACATTCATCCAACGCGTGGGGGCCAAGCAGGAAGCTCTCATCAAAACATATTTGGTATCTTGACTTAAATAAAACTAAAATAGGGCTTTGTAAACGGTTATAAGCTGCTGCCATGAATCAATAGGAAATGAAGACGAGTCCTCGTCTAACGAATGAAGAAGATGTCGCCACCTTGTGGAAAGCGGGACGATGGTTCTCCTCGTGCTTCTCCCTGAGAACACAAATTCACAAAAGTGAAAGAAAGAACTTTCTGATCAGGTCCCTGTGTGTGTGTGTGTGTGTGTGTGTGCGGTTGCACTGACTGGTAGTTGGGGTGCACGGCGTGCGCCATGTCGGCGCTGATCATGAAGGAGAGCGGCGCCGCCTGCTGGAAGGCGGTGAGGTTGGTGGCGGAGGCGGAGAGGCGGCTGAGGATGAGCTCCGTCAGGTTGGAACTGGCGCCCTGAGCGCTCTCTGACCCCACCTGCAAGACGCACGCACACACACTTAGCCGTTGCGTCGGACGATCAGCGTCACAGGACGCGAGTTCAAAGACTCACCTCTTCGTTGTCGTACAGAGTGACCATGCGGACGTTGGGATCTTTGGACAGAGAGTCTCCGGAGCACGACTCGATCAGCGCCTGGCGGGACGAGAGAGGACATGTGAACACGAGAGACACTTTGTGATGAGGAAAGAGCTCAAATCTACGAGCTACGAGCTAAGAGCTCAAATCTACGACCTACGAGCTACAAGCTACGAGCTAAGAGCTACGACCTACGAGCTACGAGCTAAGAGCTACGAGCTACGAGCTACGAGATGAGCTGGAATCCGTTGTCCAGCAGAACCTGGTCTCAGCCGGGTGGAACCTTCTCTAAACAGAGTCCCAGAGACTGAAGAAGGGCTGAGGAAGAAGAGGGTGTGACCTGCAGGGCGCAGTAGCAGCTGTGGAGGTTGTCCAGCCGAGGGGAGTAAATGAACTCTTCGTACACTCCTCCCAGCGCCTGCAGAGGAGAAGAGAAAGAAATACACACAGTTATGGATCAATTAAGACGATTACACGTTCTGTGCTGCCGTCACTCATGAATATGGAGAGGACGCTTTAGGGGGTCGGACCAGATCAGGAGATCACCGCTGACTCACCGCGGGCTGAGTGTCGGTCAGACACAGCTCAAAGTCCAGCAGGGCCTCAGGCTCCACCCCCAGCTCCGAGCACAGCACCGTCACCAGCGCCGGGTGGTGTTTCTCCGCCTGCCGAGGGAGAGGATGCGGCAGTAGACTTACGTCACGAGGAGACATGGGGGCCACGCGCTACAGTCCTGATGTGTAGCGGTACAGATGTGGGGGCCGTACCGTGTTTGCGGCACAGCTGGCGTCTCCGGAGGACGCGCAGCCCGTCTCCAGCTCGTCCTGCACTACGGTGGCGATGATCGGCACGCTGAACCAACACAAACGCACACGTTATACTCGTACACGTCTGAACACGAACCCCCTGAGCTGCTGTGGTCAAAGACTGACAGGTGGTTCTCCTTGTTGGGCCCGAAGGAGTCGTTCACGTCCCTCTGCAGGTGGATGGCCAGGTGAGGGATCCTCAGCAGGGGGCGGGACACGTGGAAGAGCCGGTGAACCAGCCGGCCGTCACTCTGCAGGACGCACACATTGGAGGGCCGGGGTTTACACGCCGGTACCGCTAGCGGCGCAGTCGTACTGAAGGCTCCGATCCTGGTACCTTGACCATGACGCGGCCGGCGATGGTGAGGTCGCGGTCGAACCAGGTGCTCCAGATGCCTCCTCCGTAGCACTCCACCCCCACCTGCAGACAGCCCTGCTTGGTCCTCTTGGACCTCGGCTTCACCTGAAGCACACAGATGATCAAGTCCATCGATCTAACAGTACGCCGATGACTGAGTAAGTCCTCAGGATTCAGATGAGGTACGCAAGGAAGTGCCAGCTTGTGATTGACAAGTGGAAGTGGGCGGGCTCTCACCCTGAGGCAGGGGCTGTCTGTGTGAGCGCCGATCATGGAGAAGCCGTTCCCCGGCAGGAAGCGTCCGCCCACGGCGAAGGCGATGAGGCTGGAGAAGTTCCTGGTCACGAAGTACTGGAGGGAGGAGAGGACGGGGTCTGAGTGGGATAGTCGGACGGCAGAAAACACACGCGGTCCTCCGAGGCCACGCGGCCCGGACGCACCTTGCTGGAGGGCTTGATGTCCCATTGCTCCGCCTCCTTCAGCTCGACGAAGCCCGCCTGCAGCAGACGCCGCCGGCATTCTTCAACCACTGCAGGGACGGACAGGAGAGACGGGCTTTCTAAAAGACACTTCTCACCGAAGCCGGAGCAGAAGTCCTGGCTAGAAAGATGCTTTTTATCGGTTTGTTCCTTTATTGTTCTGCATAGTAAGAACGTTTTTATTGCTTTGGTCATCAGCTGCTCTTTTAAGAAACACTCTGTAGGGAACTAGAGGTCACCGGGCAAAGGTAGGAGACTATTAGGAATTATCAGCTTCATCTGCAGGATCTTTATCTTATCTCAAGCTCAAAGTCTTCATGGAAACACGTCCACGTCTTTCTTCTGCATTTCAGACTTGCATGAGAGACTTTCTCTGCCCTTCTGACACGGCGCTCTACCTTGTAACTGTTATTCCTGGTTTTATATTTAGCAAAAAATAAGTGTGGTTACAAAATCTGCTCAAAATGAACTACAGCAAAAAAATACATACGGCACATAAAAATTAAAAAGTAATGTTGATCCATAACATCTGGGTAATAATAATCAATACTGACCAACATTTTAACACACAATTAAAGTTACTTTTACTGACAGTAGGTAAGGTTGCATTGGATGTAGTACCAAAGTATTGGTATGTATTATATATATATATATGTTATATCTACTTTACCGTGATATGGAGACACCCCTCGGTTGACAAACTGCAGGAACTCTTTGGCTGCTGACTGCACGGCCTCTTTGGAGCTCTTCATCATCAAAGACTGAAGAAGGGAACAAGGAAGGAAGGAAAGAAGGAAGTGAGCCGACTGCACAAGTCCAACAGGACAGCTAAGCTAGCGGCTAAACAGCCACAAGTCCCAACTTCGGACACCGATCGGGAGAGTCGAACCTTCCCTCGTTTCCTTTCCATACGGTCAGAAATTAATATAAGAAGACGGTGACTAACGTATTTGATTCAGTAAAAAGTAGAGACCTTTTTCAGCTTAACATTGTTATTAAATTGACATAATAACAGTAAATAGCTGTAGGCTGTCCGATAAAGGACGCACCGCTATCACCTAGCTAGCTAACCTTCTTCTACGCTCTCCTTCCTCCGCGGGCCAAAGTCAAAGCGGCTCTCTGAGGGAGCGACGACCACCTTGAGGACACTCACCTGCATAAAGTGCACCGTCCAGCTATGAACTCCGGGGGGGGGGCAGCGTAATGTCAGGCGGACTCAGACCAGCTGACTGCGGACAGAGAAGCAGTCGCTGTTCCGCCTCCTCACAGCGCCGCGGGGCGGCCGGGTGGTGTAACTACAGCGCGAGGTCACCCGGCTTTGTTTACACCTTCACCTCCCGCGTCAGATCAGCTGTCAACTCACAGCGTCTCTCCTGCTGCTGAGGAAGCCCAGAGGGATGAGAAGACGCACGCGCACACACACACACGCACACACACACACACACACACACACACACACACACACACACCCACACACACACACACACACACACACACACACACACACGCTCTCTCTATTAATAGACGTGAGGGCAACAGGCTGCCGTTGAGTTGCAGCACTCGGTGTGTTGATCTCCCTTACAGGTTATTTAGTCCCAATCAGCAGGAACTATAATGGGAATTAATGAAATGTCTATTTCCTGTACATATGGCCTGCAGACACCATCGTGCTCTGTTGTTTTTGTGACTTTGTGACTTTGAAACGTTTGCTAATAATAAAGTAGAGTCGTTTTACATCTGATTGATGGCTGCATGATCCAGAGATAACGAACATACAAAACTTAATAACATGGAAAGTGTGTATTTTAGACACAAAACTACTCACCCGTGATCATCTTAATCAGCATAATTATAGTTAGTTATATAGTTATAGTTATATTATTATACTGGAAAATGTTTTTGGGTGGTGATCAAAAAAACCTTACTTATCTCTCTGATGAACCCAATGTTGATGTGATGGTTATTAATATTGATGGTGCCAAACGTACTTGAACTACAGTTGTTAACTTTCATTTGTCATAATCTTAATCGTTTTCTGCTCACAGCTCGTACCAAGACAAAAAGCACCAAATAAACCCGAAGATTGTCTATGAAGAGACGGATGATCACTTCTATCAATCTGTGCGGATGCAGTAACACAGATTGTGTAATAAGGAATATATTGAGTCTATTGAATCACTTTTCTGTGCACGAGGGAAAATATGACGACTTGTTAGCTTCACTTAAGGGGACAGTTACAAAACCTAATAATTAAGATCCAGATTAAATGGTTGTGGTTACACTCTCCTCTTCTAAAATGTCTTAGGTTAGTTTCTGTTGTGGAAGCCTGTTTACGTCCCTCCGCATTCCTGTGACACCAACTTATTTCCCTGTTCAGGTAATGAAGATTCCCCACCTTCCATGTGAACAGGCCAGATGCCTCTGCATTCTTCCCCCAGGTGCTTTAGGTATTTCACACATACGTCCTCTTCCTCATCCCTTACTTCTCCCTCTGAATCAATCTCAATTTCATGGTTTAAATTTAATTCATTTTACGTTGTATAGCCCAAAATCGCAACTTACAAATCTGCCTCGGAGGGCTTTACAGTCAGTACACATCATCTGTAACCTCACATCGGCACAGGAAAAACTCCCCAAAAAATGAAAAAGGGAAGAAACCTCAGTGAGAACGTCAGAGGAGGATCCGTCTCTTTATGGACAGACCACAATGATGTCATGAGGACAGAATGAACAATGTAGAAGATGAACGATACATTCAGTTCATGTAACAGAGATGATAATTGTGAGTAGACAGCAGGTTTACGGGAGGACCACTGCAGGGGAACCACCATCACATAGAACCACCATCACATAGAACCACCATCAGATGGAACCACCATCAGATAGAACCACCATCAGAAAGAACCACCATCAGATAGAACCACCATCAGATAGAACAACCATCACATAGAACCACCATCACATTGAACCACCATCACATAGAACCACCATCACATAGAACCACCATCAGAAAGAACCACCATCACATAGAACCACCATCACATTGAACCACCATCACATAGAACCACCATCAAATAGAACTACCATCACATAGAACCACCATCCACAGAAGCCTGTGGGGAGGGAAAGCACAAAGACTTGGTTTATGACGACAGTAATAGTAATGTGATTCATATTTAAAATAATAATAATGATGATGATGATGATGATGATGATGATGATGATGATGATGATGATGATGATAGCACCACAATCCATGGAAACCTGTGAGGCGAGAAAGCACAAATACTCCGTTGAAGAAGCTGAATTAGTGATGTGCATTAATGAGACATAAATTATTGTAGAAGGACAGAGAGAGATGTTTGCATGCGACTGAGGCTTGCAAGGCACGTGGTGACTATCAGGAACTGGGGGAATGAACATCATGCAGGTTTTCAAAAAATGCGCTACAGGCGAGAATAATTCCCCCCCTGGTCATGGGTTCGTTTCCTGGTGGATGCCTCTCTCTGTTAGAGCCTCGGAGCTGCTTCTTTCAGGAATGCTGTTGACTCCACTTCAGGGGACAGTAACATATTTACAAAACCTAATAATTAAGATGAAATCATTCTGGTTACACACACGAGTGAAGGATTTGTTGGACTTAGTAAAGGTTGGCGTGGCCCCTCTGTTGAAATCACATCTTTAATATTAATAAATGATTATCAGGTAGCTGTGGGGACAAAGACTTGTGCAGTCAAAAGTACCGGTTTAGCGAGGCGGCTGAACATCCCAGCACGTGACACTGCTTCTGTTTGGAGAGGCCTCGAACGGATGACAAACCACGAGCCCGAACCCCCCCACTCCATGAACGACCTCCGCCTGGCAGACCAGCTGAATGAGTTCTACTGTAGATTAAATACACAACGGGACCGTCCTGACTCCATTCTCCACAACTCCACCAACCACCACCAGACCACTACCCCCCCTCTGCCCATTACGGGGACCCTACTGACGGACTGTGACATCCCTTTACACTCCAAATGTAAATGTAAAGCAGAGGTTGTTCTTCCTGAGGCAGCTGAAGAAATTCAACCTGCCAAAGGCGATGATGGTGCACTTCTACACGGCCATCATGGAGTCCATCCTCTGCTCCTCCATCAGCGTCTGGTACGCTGCAGCCACAGCCAAGGACAAGGGCAGGCTGCAGCGTGTCCTCCGCTCTGCAGAGAGGGTGATCGGCTGCAATCTGCCGTCCCTGCAGGACTTGTTCGCTTCCAGGTCTCTGAAGCAGCTAAAAAGATGGTAGCCGACCCCTCTCACCCCGGACAAAACCTGTTTGTGCCCCTTCCATCTGGCAGGAGGCTGAGGTCCATCAGGACTAAGACCTCCGGCCACACCAACAGTTTCTTCCCGTCGGCAGTCGGGCTCATCAAGAGCCGGTCCTCCACTGACTGACTCTGACATCCCACCGGTCACTCCCCTTCACACTGCACATGCCACTTTAACTGTAATTTATCACTTTGTTGTCACTCGTCACTTTGTCACTTGTTCGCTAGTGCACTTTATGCTTAATATTTAAACTTTTTTAATATTTTAAATTTTTAACTTTAACTTTATTCCCTTGTTTTATACTAACCCATAGCCTTATTCTTCTCTGTTACTAACCCATTGCATTAGCATTTCATTTTACTTGTGCACTGCTGTCTTGTTGTCGTTACACTGTCTGTCACGCACCAACCGCCAAGACAAATTCCTTGTATGTTTGACATATTTTGGCAATAAATGTTTCCTGATTCCTGATTCCTGAAATACACATGCCACGCATACACCCTTGCTACAGTCCCCAACCTCTTTTGCCTCACGGGCCGTTTCATGTTGGACAATATTTGGCGGGCCGGTCTTGGAGTTGCTCGCGCTCTTGGTGACAAAGAATCCGGTCAGCTTTCGAAATAGAAAAAAAGGTAAAATGACAAAAATATATATCTATTCTTTTTGTGGTGCGGCCGGTAACAAAAGGCCCACGGACCGGTACCTGGTGTAGAGTATGGTCTGCATAACAATGGAAGTTTATGCGGTGTTTCCTGATAAGATCGCCCAAAGGAAGCATATAGAGGGTAAATAAAATCGGTCCAAGTACAGAACCTTGTGGGACTCCGTGACCAACATTGCTGGTCTTTGAGGATTCACCGTTTACAAGCACAAACTGGGATCGATCCGATAAGTAGGATTTAAACCAGCTGAGTGCAGTTCCTTTGATACCAATAAAATGTTCTAGTCTCTGCAACAGGATACAATGGTCTATGGTATCAAATGCCGCACTGAGGTCCAGCAAGACAAGAACAGAGACAAGTCCTTAGCCCGATGCCAATAGAAGATCATTCGTAATTTTCACCAGTGCTGTTTCTGTGCTATGACATGCGGCTGTACATGTTGTCACTGGTCCAGTTTGGGAGGGGGCCAGAGAAAACTACGGTGTCCGACATTGTTTTAGCGTATGTACATACCGACTCCACATTAACTTTAGTGACCTCCGAGCAACGTAATCGGGAGTCATTACCGCCGACGTGTATTACAATCTTACTGTATTTACGTTGATCCTTAGCCAGCAGTTTGAGATGAGACTCAATGTCGCCCGCTCTGGTCCCCGGTACACATGTAACTATGGTCCCTGGTTTCACTTCATGTTCCTCAGAATGAAGCTGGCAAAGGCTATGGGTGCAGACCACATAGACTTGTCAGTGTAAATGTGCAAAACAGGCAAACCGGACAAACGAGTACGTCGGGATACTTCGCATTTTCATGCCAACACTTAACTTTGTAGCTGCGGTGTGCGTCTGTTTAAGTGCATGCACGCATTTGTTCATTGGAATCTACTGAAAGACAGTGAAAAAGAGGCGGAGTCTCTGCACCACACTAACTGCTCCAAAGAGGGTGACTGCATAAAGCCAGGGCAAGTAGGTTTACCTCCATTGCCTTCATCTGCTGGAGCTCCCTCTAAGCTCCCCGTGTGTTCAGCCATGGCCTCCGATAGCTCCTCCTCACAAACAGCCATGAACCAGAAGTTCCTGACCCCGCAGACCAACGAGAAGGTGGAGCTGCAGCACCTGGACGACGACTTCCCCAGCGTCATCGAGAGGGTGCGCCGCATGGAGCTGCAGAAGCAGAACCCGACGCTTCTGGCGGAGGTGAAGCGGCCGCAAGGCCGTAAGCTCACGTACCATGAGAGGTATGAAAACCAGGTGGGAGGGGGCCAGGTGAAGGGGGGGGGGTTCTTCAAGGGTGAGAGGAAAACTGTGTAGTGTGACTTTAGAGAAGAAGTTAAACTGAAGAAGAAAGAGCTGCTGATTTAATCATGAAGACGGACGTGATGATGATGATGATGATGATGACCAGCTCGTCCGTAGGAGACGAGTCATCTGGTTGTTCTGGTGACAGGAAGTGTCCTTAAAAAGGATTCTTATTTGTAGACTTTAATATGACCAAAGTTGAATTAGGAGTATTTCTATTTTCGGTTTTCATTTAACAGCTTTGAGGAAAAAGTAAGTTCAATATCCAGCAATTCCACAGTATCAGAGGAACAATCTTTTCATTGAGTAAAAGTGACCGTCAGTACAACGTACATTAATATTAGAGAGGTAGTACTATGCAGCATGTTATATTATCATACTGGAATATGTTTGTTGGGGGTGATCAAATAAATCTTTCTTCTTCCTCAGATGAACCCAACGTTGATGTTGTTAATGTCGATGATGTCGTTGTCTCACCTGCTCTTCCAGGCTCATGGACCAGACTCCCCAGAAGGAGGACGTGGAGAGCCGCCTGGCTGCTTCCAGGGGGGTGAGTCACCGTGTACTACTGTGGCTACACATGCGTACTACTACACAAGTACAAGTACTCCCATCAGAGGTTTCTTCTCTATGGAGATGAAGACCTGTTTGAAATGGGTGCAACCATTAAGTTGCAACCTTGTGTCTTCTGGACCAGACCAGGAGGACCAGTGATGGTTGATGTGAGGAGTTCATCCGACCCGTGCACAAGCACGGCCTGCATGTCAAGCCAATCTCTGAGGCTGAGGACTGGTACAAGTCCCAGGTGAGGGCCACGTGGTTGGCCTTTAAAAAGACCAAGACGCAGTGTGACCTTTGACTTTTTGTCTCTCCAGGTGTCCAACATGAACCAGGCAGTTGACAAAAACTACGACGCGCTCAAGCAGGAGATCATAGAGTTCAGAAAACAGATCCAGCCCTACACCCACGATATCGGCTCGCTCAAAGACACCGTATGTGTCTGAGAAACACACACACACATACACACACATACACACACACACACACACACATGCTGTGTCTCACTGCCGGCTTGTCTCTTCGACCGATCCAGAATGAGTCCCTCATAAGACAGATGAGGGACATGGAGTACCACCACAGGCTGGAGGCCGGCAGCTTGCTGTACTATATCGCCACGCTGGAGATGGAGATCGTCAACATGAGAGAGGAGATGGAGCACATGGTGCAGGAGCACCAGGGCCTCCTCCACGTGAAGAGGACACAGGACCTTCAGATCGCTGCCACCAGGAAGATGCTGGAGGAGGAGGAGAGCAGGTGAGGCTGGAGGCCGGGGTGAGGGCCGGCCTTTTAAAGGCTTTGCCAGTCGGACTTGTGTTAAGACAATTTTAAGTTAAATGTGCTGACGGCACATTAAAAACCATCGCATCCTTAAAACAATATTTTATCCACATTAGAATCAATGAGTCATTGTTTTCTGCAGGATCGCCGTGCGTGAGCAGAGCTTCTCCAAACCGAACCCCAAAGGTACGGACATACCTGCTGTACCCTGAACACACCACCAGAGGAAACACGGGTCTGAACTCGGTCCTTACCCATAATGCAGTTCACCTGCAGGTCGAGGTTTTTCAGCAGAAGCAGAACACAATAAAATAAGCAAAAGAAAGTCATTGATTAGACGACTCTTTCTGTGCTACATATGGGTTTACTTTCTGCTCCAGACGGTCCTCGTGTTTTAGGATGATTTTAAAATGACAAACGTGAATATATCTGCACGTGTCTGGTGTCTTTTGCTTTGAACTGCATATTACAAACATTATTGTAATAACATATTGTGTTTAAACAGAGACCAGCCGGGAGCAACAGGTGCGCGTGGTGGAGATCAGCCACGATTACCCCCCTGGGGTTAACTAACAGAAGCAGGTGCGGTTATTTGATTACACGTTTGGCCTAAAGCTTCAAGTACACATTTTATGGCATGTATCATATCATCATTGTCATCTAATAAACTCTAATCATAACATGTCCTACACCCTCATATTTCATAACATTATCATCCTTATATTTAACTCATTTCATATTACATTACATGATATGGTTCCATATATCATAAGGTCCAAACTGAGCCCTTCAATCTGCACACATGCGACATCCCTTGTTCTAAAACTTCTACTCTGCAGAGACAAAACTCTCCATGTATCGTTACTGTGAAGGACATGAGTGAGTTTGTGTACCTGCAACATCTGCTCCACTATCAGCGTCATCGTCTCGACAGAAGAAGCTCTTCTCCTTCAAAGTGTCTTTGGCTCCTCTGGTTTCCTCCTGCAGGACGTCAGCGAGTCGTCATCATGTGAGGAGGAGCAGAGAGAAGAAGAGACGACGAGGGACAAGAACATAGAGACTCTTCTGGGTTAAAGCGGCTGCAACGTGTGGACGTAAAGCAGAGTGATGCTGTTTTTCACTCTATTGGGATGTATTTATCTGTTGTGGTTTACTTTATATATATATATTATATTATATTTCTGAAGATTTATTTTTGATGAAAGATTGTATCTTGATTGAGATCTTTTGGAACTTTGAAATGTCTGCATGACCCGGAGAACCTACAACAAAACTCAAGACATTCAATTACCTTCACATTCCTCCTAACTGCTTTTAGTAGAAAACACAATTTATTACTAAATATGGTCGAGCATTCCTACTACTGTTTTTAACATCTCTTGCAAAACCGCAGCTCTTCAATGGCTCATACTTCGAAACATGATTTACAGTTGTTAACTTTTATTTATCATAATATTTTTCTGCTCACATCTTCTACCATACTGAAGCACAAAAAAACAAAGATCGTCTATTAACAGATTATCACTTGTATCGATCTCTGTGCACGAGTAACACAGATTGTAATAAGGAATATATTCTCCTGCCGTGTTTCTGTGTACGGAGAGAATATATATATAATATGACGACATGTTGGCTTCACCTAATGGGACAGTAACATATTTCCAAAACCTAATAATTAGGATCCAGATCAAATTATTCTGGTTAAGTGCATGAGTCTGTGCATGCGACTGAGGCTTGCAAGGCACGTGGTGACTATCAGGAACTGGGGGAAAGAATATCATGCAGGTTTTCAAAAAAGGCGAGAATAATTTCCCCCCCTGGTCATGGGTTCGTTTCCTGGTAGATGCCTCCAGGAGATGAAATCCAAAGCGCAAGCTGGATGATTCTACGTATGTGTGTGAATATCCAACGTGTGTTAGAGGCTCTTCGGGGTTAAGCAGAGTGATGCTGTTATTCACTTTGGATGTATTTATCTGTGGTGTTTTATTTTATATATATTATATTATATGTTATATTTCTGAGAATAACTGAGACTAACCTGATTTATTTTTTAAGAAAAATTGTATCTTGATCAAGATCTGTTGTTGAATATTCAAATGACAATCGAATCAACATCTTTGCATCCGAGACACTGCAAAAAATAAAAGCTTTTTCCAATGGCCTAAAGAATAAAAGACTCCTGCATAGACGTCCTGATTGTCTATTTAAGTTACATGTTTCCCATGGAGCTCCTCCAGTTTGGTCCAGTGTGTCTGAGCTGATCAATAAGGGGCCGATAAACAGGAAAGGAAGCTGAGATCCTGTGAAGGAAGAAAGAAAGAGAGACGGGTGGGGGGGGGGGAGAGGCTTGGGGGGGGGGGGGGGGCCTCTTGGTTTTTAACACCTTTGCCCAAAAAAAAAGAGAAAGCTTGTTTACTCCCGCTTTAGGGGGGCCCGAGCCCCCGGATACACACCAAAACATATACATGGGTGGGGTGTTTTTTTGAACAAAAACGCTCCCCGTGATCATCTTAATCAGCATAATTATAGTTAGTTATATAGTTATAGTTATATTATTATACTGGAAAATGTTTTTGGGTGGTGATCAAAAAAACCTTACTTATCTCTCAGATGAACCCAATGTTGATGTGATGGTTATTAATATTGATGGTGCTAAACGTACTTGAACTACAGTTGTTAACTTTCATTTGTCATAATCTTAATCGTTTTCTGCTCACAGCTCGTACCAAGACAAAAAGCACCAAATAAACCCAAAGATTGTCTATGAAGAGACGGATGATCACTTCTATCAATCTGTGCGCATGCAGTAACACAGATTGCGTAATAAGGAATATATTGAGTCTATTGAATCACTTTTCTGTGCACGAGGGAAAATATGACGACTTGTTAGCTTCACTTAAGGGGACAGTTCCAAAAGCTAATAATTAAGATCCAGATTAAATGGTTGTGGTTACACTCTCCTCTTCTAAAATGTCTTAGGTTAGTTTCTGTTGTGGAAGCCTGTTTACGTCCCTCCGCATTCCTGTGACACCAACTTATTTCCCTGTTCAGGTAATGAAGATTCCCCACCTTCCATGTGAACAGGCCAGATGCCTCTGCATTCTTCCCCCAGGTGCTTTAGGTATTTCACACATACGTCCTCTTCCTCATCGCTTACTTCTCCCTCTGAATCAATCTCAATTTCATGGTTTCAATTTAATTCATTTTACGTTGTATAGCCCAAAATCACAACTTACAAATCTGCCTCGGAGGGCTTTACAGTCAGTACACATCATCTGTAACCTCACATCGGCACAGGAAAAACTCCCCAAAAAATGAAAAAGGGAAGAAACCTCAGTGAGAACGTCAGAGGAGGATCCGTCTCCTGATGGACGACTACAATGATGTCATGAGGACAGAATGAACAATGTAGAAGATGAACGATACATTCAGTTCATGTAACAGAGATGATAATTGTGAGTAGCAACACAGGTTTACGGGAGGACCACTGCAGGGGAACCACCATCAGATAGAACAACCATCACATAGAACCACCATCACATAGAACCACCATCAGAAAGAACCACCATCAGATAGAACCACCATCACATAGAACCACCATCACATAGAACCACCATCAGATGGAACCACCATCACATAGAACCACCATCAGATAGAACCACCATCAGATAGAACCACCATCAGATGGAACCACCATCACATAGAACCACCATCACATAGAACCACCATCACATAGAACCACCATCAGATGGAACCACCATCAGATAGAACCACATCACATAGAACCACCATCACATTGAACCACCATCCACAGAAGCCTGTGGGGAGGGGAAGCACCAAGACTTGGTTTATGACGACAGTAATAGTAATGTGATTCATATTTAAAATAATAATAAAAGTAGTAATGATGATAATAATGATGATGGTGATGATGATGATGATGACAGCACCACGATCCATGGAAACCTGTGAGGCGAGAAAGCACAAATACTCCGTTGAAGAAGCTGAATTAGTGATGTGCATTAATGAGACATAAATTATTGTAGAAGGACAGAGAGAGATGTTTGCATGCGACTGAGGCTTGCAAGGCACGTGGTGACTATCAGGAACTGGGGGGATGAATATCATGCAGGTTTTCAAAAAATGCGCTACAGGCGAGAATAATTCCCCCCCTGGTCATGGGTTCGTTTCCTGGTGGATGCCTCTCTCTGTTAGAGCCTCGGAGCTGCTTCTTTCAGGAATGCTGTTGACTCCACTTCAGGGGACAGTAACATATTTACAAAACCTAATAATTAAGATGAAATCATTCTGGTTACACACACGAGTGAAGGATTTGTTGGACTTAGTAAAGGTTGGCGTGGCCCCTCTGTTGAAATCACATCTTTAATATTAATAAATGATTATCAGGTAGCTGTGGGGACAAAGACTTCAGTCACAGGTCACCTGCTGTCATCAGGGTGTGAATGAGTCAATGATGTCACGTGGTGTTAAAGAGCTTTGAGTGTAAATATATAAATAAATACGTTTGGCTTCAGACTAAATGTTTGAACTTTTTAACCTCAAACTGTGAACAATATATGAACCGTTTACAGTTTACAGCCGGAAGTGAATATATTAGTTCTTTGGAATGTTAAACATTCAATTTCAGTTTCATTTTCAATATTCAGGAACTAAAGATACGTAATATATGTGTAAAATAATTTACGTTAGATCGACTCTGCTTGTTCGTCTGGATTTATTGACGTCATGATTGCAGCACTCTGTGATCACACAGGTAGACACACAGGTAGACACACAGGTAGACACACAGGTAGACACACAGGTGAGCACACAGGTAGACACACAGGTGAGCACACAGGTAGACACACAGGTAGACACACAGGTGAGCACACAGGTGAGCACAAAGGTGAGCACAAAGGTAGACACACAGGTAGACACACAGCTGAGCACACAGGTAGACACACAGGTAGACACACAGGTAGACACACAGGTAGACACACAGGTGAGCTCCACAGGGCCCGCAGTGGAAAAGACACTGGCTTAAATGAGTATACTAGAAGCTAGATGGCTAGTTAGCTGCTGAAGCTACACGAGTGGTAAGCTGTTAGTTGCTGTGAGGACGGACTCATCAGTGTAAGTGAAGTCTTTCAATCGGCTCGACCACCGAAGGCGAGCAGCGACATCTGCGTTTCGGTCGTATAGGCAGCACCGGTTCTCGGTGACTCCATCCCCCACAGCTCCACCAACCAGCGCCAGAGCTGAAGTTGAACATGTCAGATTTCCTGCACTGTGTTATTTGTCTTGTTGTTATTTTCCTTGGATGTCTAACATACTGTCTTTCCTCTATAAATGTTCCTGAATCCTGATTCCAGAGCTGATTTTAACTGCCTGGCTTCTTCTGCACGCTCACATTTGCTTTGCAGCATCGACCAGAAAGAAGGTAAAGTTTCACATAATGGCAGCAATGTTTGATCAAAGCTCATGTGACGCACTCCATTCTGTCAGCGCTGATAATCATCTCAGGGGAAACTGTGTGGAATTGAATTCAGGTTTCACAATAATAATGATGCTTTCCTTATCAGTGTAAATGTGCAAAACAGACAAACTGGACCAACGGGTTTGACGGATGCTTCGCGTTTTCACGCCAACCCTTAAAATTGTAGCTTTTAAGGGTTGACAGTGAGAAGGAGGCGGAGCCTCTGCACCGCACTAACTGCTCCAGAGAGGGTGACTACATAAGGCCGGGGGCAGTAAGTTCGCCTCCATTGTCTTCATCTGCTCCCACCAGGCTCCCCGTGTCTTCGGCCATGGCCTCCGATAGCCCCTCCTCCCAAGCAGCTTCCACCTACCTGACCGCGCACACCAACGAGATGGTGGAGCTGCAGCACCTGAACGGCCGCTTAACCAGCTACATCGAGAGGTTGCACTTCCTGGAGCAGCAGAACCAGACGCTGGCGGCGGAGGTGAAGCGGCTGCGAGGCCGTAAGCTCACGCGCTTTGAAAGGTATGAGAGCCAGGTGGGAGGAGCCAGGTGGGAGGGGCCAGGGGGCGTGTGTGTGTGATGGACAGAAGATTTCTGTGTATTGTTGTGTGTTTGAGTGAAAGAGAAAACAACATTTGTGTGAGTTTTTCAGCAGCTGAGAGGGAAACTGTGAAAGTGACTTTAGAGAAGAAGTCAGGCTGAAGAAGAAAGATCTGCCGATTTAATCATGAAGATGACGTGATGATGATGACGATGATGGACGTCCGTCATCTGGTTGTTCTGGTGACAGGAAGTGTCCTTAAAAAGGATTCTTATTTGTAGACTTTAACATGACCAAAGTTGAATTAGGAGTATTTCCATTTTTGGTTTTCGTTTAACAGCTTTGAGGAAAAAGTAAGTTCAATATCCAGCAATTCCACAGTATCAGAGGAACAATCTTTTCATTGAGTAAAAGTGACCGTCAGTACAACGTACATTAATATTAGAGAGGTAGTACTATGCAGCATGTTATATTTTCATACTGGAATATGTTTGTTGGTGTGATCAAAAAAGCTTCTCAGATGAACCCGACGTTGATGTCGATGATGTCGTTGTCTCACCTGCTCCTCCAGGCTCATGGAGCAGACTCCCCAGAAGGAGGACGTGGAGAGCAACCTGGCTGCTTCCGGGGGGGTGAGTCACCGTGTACTACTGTGGCTACACATGCGTACTACTACACAAGTACAAGTACTCAAACTATGACTCTACCTCTAGTCATGATCACACATGATAACTTCCTCCACCAGGTGACGCCTGTGTAGCGTGTCTCCACCCACAGCTTCTCCACAACGCAGAAGAAGCTCCTCCTGACGTTTCTCGTATGTCTTCCTTCATGTGCAGAGCTGCTGACCGTTAAAAGCAATGTGGACGCCTCTGACCCGTTTGTCTTACTATGCTAAAAATCACAGCTCAACATTGTTAAGGAACAACAAGGCAGCTCGCTGAGGTAGAGTGAAGAAAAGAGGATGTCTTCAGAGATACAGAACAGCGGAGCGAAGTGAATGACCAGCGAGAGAAGAGGCCTAAGGGGCACGTGTGAGGGAGTAACGCTGTACATCAGTAACAACGTTGTATCTTTACCGTGAAGGACATGAGTGAGTCTCTGTACCTGCAACATCTGCTCCACCGTCAGCTTCATC